ACCTTACCATCATACATTATCTTTGTGTGTGTGTGTGTGTGTGCATGTATCACTTTGTTTCTTTTGTCTGTATATAAATGATGATGATGATGATACTCCCGAAGGTACTTATAAATTCTCTTGATGAAATCTCCAATGACGTGTTGATTAAAAGATTCCGATACAATGAAAATAAAAACGAATGAGGGATATTGTTGTTTCAATGAATGAATGAATGAATGAATGAATGACACAACGTGATCACACGGTGGTCGAGAATAGTATAGAATGGAGAACAACAGCAACTAAAAACTTGCTAACTTTTCACTAGAGACTACATTTCCGAGACAAACAAAACAAAACAAAAAAAAAGAAAGAAGAAAATTTTTTTTTCTTTTACCGAAAATTCAGAAATCAACCAACCAAATCATAATATAAATCGCTATCACTGATGATGATGATGATGATTATATAAACAAACCTCTAGAGAAGAACAAGTCTACGAAAAAAAAATTATTCACCTGAGTGTTTTTTTTTCTTTCGAGCCCAAATATTTGTTTCTCTCTCTGTGTGTGTGTGTGTGTGTGTATTGATTATCAAGTAATCATTTCATTCATACCCAAAAATTCCCTCTGAATCCCAATGGATTTTTGTTTGTTTGTTGCATCTCTCACATGTCCATTGGTTTTTTTCTTTTTTATTGTTTAAATTTGTATATTGGCATCTGATGATTTTTATCATTTTTTGTTTGTTTGTTTGTTTGTTTATCGATTAATCAATCATCAGAAATGAGAAAGTTTTTGAGTGAACAACATAACAGAATCATAACCAGATCCATGTTTTTTCCACATATATATTTAAATTAATTGTCTAATTTGCATAATCATCATCATGGATGATTGTAGCTTTTTGGTTTTTATCGTTTTTTTTTTGTTACAAAAAAAACCATAACGATGATGATTTGAATATGAATATCATCATTCCAAAACAACAGCGAAAGCCCAAAAAAAAAAATATAGCTTCAAGCTATTGTAATTGCGTGTGTATTTTATACATTGGCTACATTACCTCACCAATCTATTCAAATGATGTTTATTCACTTCATTAGATTATCATACACATGATACACCAAAAAAAAAGATCAAGACCCCGTTAGACCTTTAGGAAGGAAAAGTGAAGAAGAGAAAAAAGGCCAAAAAAAAAACAAACACCAGAGAATATATATTCTGTAATCAGCTTCGAGACAATTTTGTTGTTGTTGTTGTTGTTGTTTTTCAGACAAAAAAAAAGTTTCAGTTTTTCACTTTTACACGCATTGACATTGATAGAATTTTTTCGTTTTGTTTCCATTTCATATATCGTAAAAATTTATATTCTGAATTTATTTGAATGGTGAATTTTTTCTCTCTCTCTCTCTTTCTATCTGTTTTTTTTCATTTTGCAATAAATGAATGATCACTTGCCATTCGTTGTTGTTGTTGTAATACTACTGCTATATTCTTAACAATCCCATGGGATGTTGGTAGGCAAAAATGTTATGTGAAATGAGATAGTCAGAGAGAGAGAGAGAGAGAAGAGAGAAAGCCAAACACTGAGAGCTAATCAGAAAGGACAGAATTGAATCGCTAGCTTTGCAATAACAATTTTTTTCAGTTGTTGTTGTTGTTGGATAACTTTTTTTTTCATTCGTTTCGATTTCTCCCAATGATGATGATGATTTTACTATATCCAAAGAAGAGGAACGAAAGAAAAAAAATTCAGTAGCAACATTATATGTCACACACACACACCAACCAACCAGAAAAAAAATGCACGCCATCATATCATCATGTATAAATGGACATTTTGGATGCATCTATTACCAATGTATGTCCACTATATTTTTTATTTTACCTTTGAAATGAAAAAAAAATAAAAATAAATAAAACGACTTTCAATAAATATCGATTCGTTGACAATAATAAAACCAATCTATAAAAAAAAAAATAAAAATAAAAATCTCTATTGGTCAATTTTTGGTTGGTTTATGATCAATTTATAATGGTCATTTTCATGATGCTGAGAGAGATAATTAGGAATCGAATGTTGTCATTGTTTTTTTTCATATTTGTTGTTTTAATATCATCATCATCATCATTATAAAGAATCAAGTGGAAAGAATCACAAAAAAAACTAACAATTTCATCATCATCATCATCATGATGATGTACACAAGCCGTAAATCTGTTTGGTTTGTCGCTTGGATTATTTGCTTGCGTTTTTGTTTTGTTTTGTTTTTGAATTCTAGTCAGACGTGTGTGTGTGTGTGTCTGTGTCTGTATGATTTGCTACATACTTTGATCTAGTGTGATTATCACTTTTTTTCCAATTCTTTCTGGTACAAATACTGCATATTTGACAACAATGTGCGATGACTATGTGGGTAATCCTGTGAAAATCCTTTTTTTTCTGATAAATTAAGTTTCACTTTTTTGATGCTCAATTTTTTTTTTTTTCGTTTTGGTTTTGTTTAGTGTCTGTAGAATGGATCCGGGGATTCGTTGTTTTTTTTTATTTTTGATTCTGTATTTTTTTATTATTATTATTCTTGATTCCTTCTCCACATGTCAAGTTTGATGTTGACATTTCTGTTTTTTTTTTCTCTCAGTGTGTGTGTGTGTATCTTACATGACATGTCTAGGTCTACTGGATAGAGAAAGAGAGTAGTAACAATTTTTCTAATCTAGACAAATTTTCCGTGGCCAAAGTCAACTAGATGATATTCGTGCAAATACCAGACAAAAAAAAATGACAAAGAATGAAACGAAAAAAAAAATGTTGCCGTTTTGTTCAGTGAATTGAATCTTTCTGTGTGTTTCTCGTTATTTTTATTTATTTTTTTTTTTTTTCACTGATCTGACAACATTTCCGACTGGACCAAAGAAAAAAAAAAATTTTTTTTTTCATCTTATTATTATTATTATTGTGTCAAATACGCTGACCAACTGAGGCTGTAGGCTCATGACTCATGACTGACCAACCGATCGACCGACTGATTCGACAATAAATTTCATTTTCAGAATCTACATTTGTTTTGTTTTGGATTCTAATTAATTGATTTTTTTCTTTTTTGGCCAAAAAAAATCAGTTCTTTTGTTTGTTTAGTCGATGGTTGATGGAGAGAACAAAAATAAAGGTTCAGGCCGTATGTTTTTGTACGATATTTTTGATTTTTTTTTTTTTTTTTTTGATTAATCAAAATTTTTCTCTCTTCAGCAATTTATTATCATGACATGACTCATGGTGCTAAGTCTGCTTGGGAATTATTACGTGATTTTGATACAATCAAGTTTGAAGGCTCGATTCAAGGTTTATTTTTTACGGCAATTATTTGCAGCTTTTTTGATAAAAAATATTAAGCTGCCGATTATTTTATGAATTCCAAAGTACGAGCTCTTTTACCCGCTGAATATGATGAGATGCGCAAAATGGTTGACATCTATAATGGCGGAAGATCAAAACTGATTATATGAGTGATAAACAGTTTGAATCCGAATTATTGAGATTCGAGAGAGAGAAAAATTTGAAATTTTCTGCTCAAAATACGTCTTTGGCCGCAAGTCAATTAAATCGAATAATTCTTTCTACATTGTTGAACAAGAAGAAATTTAATGGAACTTGCCATGACTGACCAACCGACCGACCGACTGATTCGACAATAAATTTCATTTTCAGAATCTACATTTGTTTTGTTTTGGATTCTAATTAATTGATTTTTTTCTTTTTTGGCCAAAAATCAGTTCTTTTGTTTGTTTAGTCGATGGTTGATGGAGAGAACAAAAAAATAAAGGTTCAGGCCGTATGTTTTTGTACGATATTTTATTTTATTTTATTTTTTTTTTTTTTGATTAAATCAAAATTTCTCTCTTCAGCAATTTATTATCATGCAATACATTTCTCTCTCAAGTCTTGTTTCTGATCATCATGATGATGATGATGATGATAATGATTTTGTTGATACCTTTTATTTATTATTTCAATATAATGGTGATTGCTTTTTGTTTTTGGCCAAAAGAAAAAAAAACCCTGATGTGTCTGTGTTCATCTTATTTGTCATCGTTGTTGTTGTTGTTGTTGTTGTTGTTATAAACAAGCAATTTATTTAATGACATTCATGTTCAGCATCATCATCATCATGTTTATCATGTTCATCATATCATCTCATGCAACAACAACAACAACATAGGACAGATGTGAATGAAATATATACAAGGGGTGTGTGTGTGTGTAAGTCTTTAGTCTGCTTATTTTTTAATTTTATGGTTTGTAATAATAAAATGTATATATGGTGGTATAGTAGTAGTGGTGGTGTTGTTGAATAGTAGGAGGATATTAGAAATGGCCACCACCATAGGTCTTTTTTTTTCTTTTTTTTCTTTCTTCATCGTCATCATCTTAATAGTTCCTTTGAGATTTTCGTTATATACGCGTTGGTACACACGGTGATGTGTTTTTTTTTTTGTTTTTTTTTTTCACATTATCACAACATGAAACAACAACATTTTTTTTGCAAATAGTGCACCAGGACCAACAACAACATTAACATCGACAAAATGAATTTTCACCATAAAAAATCACCACACAGCACATCATTCATTTCTCACATATATATATAATACCTATAATCAAAAAGAACTACAACGATTACACACAATGGTGATGAGATTTGAAAAAAAAGTTGAATTTAATTTTCATTTTAAGGGCAATTTTTCTATGAGAGTTTATCATGACCAATGCTGCTCGGTGTGTGCGTTTTTGTTTTGTTTTGTTTTGTTGTGAAAATTGATTGGGATTAATTTGGAGAAAATTATTTTGTACCACCCAAAATCCAAAAACAAATTGATGATAATTTCATTTACCATAACGTTCAAGATTAACTTTAATTTTATTTATTTATTATCTAACATTTTAATCATCGTGCTGCTAGGTCATTTATTTTAATCTGTCTGTTTGTTTTTTTTGTTTTCGTTTTTTCTTTATAGATTTTTTCTCAAATTTTTTCTCAAATGTAATCAGAATTGTTTGAAAAATGCTGGCAATCCACGTGACATGCGCCGATTTCAGGTAAGATTTTCATCATCTTTTATTTTCTCATTTTGTAAATATAAGTGTGGTTTTTTTTATATAAATATGTGGATAGTTTTGATATCAAAAAAAAAAAAAAAAAACTGAACTTTTTTTTCAAGTTATTCACTGGTGAAATTATTTGTTTGTCATTTTTATCATATGTAAATATACTGATACACTATCAGAATCTTTGTGTGTGTGTGTTTGTGTGTCTGTGTTTGTTTGTCAATGAATTGATGAATATATTCTTGACACACAAGAATCAAATCATTTTTTCATTGATGTGCAGATACATTTCGTTTTTTTTAATGACAATCTTTCATCGGTTCATTGATTATGATGATGATTTTTATTTTTATTTTTAAAAATGAAAATTTTGAAGAAAAAAAAATTTGATTTGATAAATAAGAAATTTGTAGCACAGAGGAATCCACTACAATTTTTTTCTTTTTTTTTTTTGACACGCATCAACACTTCTTTTGTGATGATGATAAGTTAGTTGGTTAGTTAGTTTGTTGATTTCATTTTTTTTTCTCTCCATGTTGATTATCTATGCGATGCCAAAAAAAAACAGCCGAATCTAATTTCTTTATTTTCTTTTTTTTGTTGCAATTCATTCCCAAATAGCACCACCACCACCCCCATTTAACCCGTTCTTATTTTTCCCTCTCTCTCTCTCTAGTTCGGTTTTTTTTCTGCCATATCAATTTGCAGCCTTTCATTTCAATGTTTTTATTTGATTTTACACACTGAATTAGTTTTGCCTATTGAGCTGTTGTTGTTGTTGATGACGGGTGCCAACACATATACTTTTCACATGTTCTTGATGAATTTTTTTTTTTTTCGTTTTTCGGCTCCATTCTTTTTCTATTAAACTTGATATAAATATATAAACAGAGTGGCAGAGAGAGAGAGAAAAGAGGTACTAATTTGATTATTACCATACACATACAATATATTGGACTGACAAAAGGTTAGAATAAATTGTGTTAAGTTCATATAAAGACCAAAATGAAATCATTTGATCATCACCATATATATTTCCTATTGATGATGGTGTTCATTTTCTTCAATTTGTTTCACTCAATTTCAATATGCTACTCTATTCTATTGTGTGTTAATGAAAATGAAAATGAAAATGAAATGAACAAGAAAAAAATCTGAATGATAAAGATCTTTTAAATATTTGATACAGATTGGCCAAATCTCTCTCTCTCGTATTCACACTTTATGTTGCTCATCATATGGCAATGAATCCATTTATTTAATGAGTGTAAAATGAACAAAAAAAAACGAAAATCTAATGTACCAGAATCCATCATCATCATCATCATCACAACTGAGAATACACAGGTTACATACGCTCTCTCTCTCTCTCGTCTCTGTCTCTATCTAAATAGCAAATGATTTCCGTCATCATTTACACTGTGTTTTATCATTATTAAGTTTAAAAAAAAATTAATTATTTAATTAATTTAACCTTTGGGATTAATATGTTTCTCGTTTTTTTTTCATCGGGTTCCATTTATCATCATCATCATCATCATCAGGATTTTTTTTTCTTTGCTCAGTAGATCACTGTATGATGATGTTCACTTGATGCTTTTTTTTTCTCTAAAATGAAACACACACACCGACGACGACGACGACGGCAACTACGGTGTCTTATAACATGGTGTGTTGCACACACACACAAAAAAATCGAAAACGCTGACAAATTATATAACACTGAGATATATATATATATAGCTATGTGTGTAAGTCATTTATTTTGATTTGACTTTCTCTCTCTCTCTCTCTCTCTCTGAGTTTAAATTTGTTTTATGTTTTGTGAAAATTATATTATTCGGATAACCTTGCTTTTTTTTCTACTCTCTGGATATCATCATCAACATTACAAACGAGAAAAAAAAATGTGAACACACCACTCTCTCTCTCTCTCTTGCTCGCTTGCTGAGTAACTGACTAATGAAACCTTTTTATTTGAAAATACACAGCAATCAAAAAAAAGAGAGAGAGAAAAATGTGATATAACTATACATCGACAATGTGAATGGTATCTAACTGATTAAATATTTATCTTGGCTATAGATCAAATTTAACTAATTAATTATTGGAAACAACAACATTCGCATAGTGACTTGAAATGAAAATGAAACAAAAACTAGACATTAGAGAACCAGAATAACCGTACAATAGAAAGAAGAAGAAAAAAAATACGAAAGATTCAAATGGTTTTAACGGTGGCCATTAACAAGTAAACAAAAAAAAGGTCGTCGTCGTCGTCGTTATCGTCATCATTTTATTTTGAGTTTTTTTTTTCTCCGTCGTTGTTGTTGTTGTTATATTTCTGGTTCTTTTCCACCAACACCAGAATATTCCATGACTTTCATGGTCTAATTGTTCATCATCATCATCATCATGTTTTTTTTGTTGTATTGTATTACATGTTTGGATTGTAATTGCAGTTAATCACACACACACACACACACAAGTCTCATGAATCTCTATCTTATTCTCAATTTTTCTTTGGTCTTTCTTTTTTTTTTCTTCTTTTTCTTCATTCTGGGCATCATGAATTGATGAACCAGCCGTATTTATACTCACATAACGTTATTTTATCTTATTCACATTCACATTCACTATCTATATATATATTCATTTTTATTTAACAAATAGGTTGTCATACTGACACAAGTAAACGTCGACAGTAATATTCTGGCCGTTTCAGATAACATGTTCGTGCACAATAATTCGAAACATGGACGTCGTACTAAGCGTGTTGATCCAACTGATGGTAATTATTTTCAATTCTTTTTTTTTTTTGTTTTCTTTTGCTCCAATTTTATTCTACAATTACAGTTAGTGTAGTGACCTTTTGTAGTTCATGTTGTATGATGAAAAATTCTAATATAACAGTTAGCGGCAGTAGCAGCAGCAGCAGCATCATCTGGACATCTGAATTTATTGTTAGCCAAGAATCATTTGTCACCAACACACAGACACACACACCCATCGATAGCCATAGACACAATAAATTATCAGAATACTAGACAACAACAACAACAACAACAGAGAAAAAATTTTATTTTTTCATCAAAACAAAACAAAACAAAAAAAAATTCTACAAAATATTGAATTCAACAAAATGGAACCAGAAATGCAAGCGAAAACAAAAAAAAAAAAAAAAATTAAGTTGCCCTTTATGTGTCATCGATCTCTGAAATGTAACTTAAACTTTTTTTTTCCTATAATTTTATTTTGAATTTGATTACGACGTGATAGGAATATGAGAGATGATGGACAAAAAATTTCTATGTGATTCTGATGATACAGTCTATATATATATTTTCTCCTCGATCTACGGATGGTATATAAACCGCTTGAAAATATTCAGAGATTATGACTAGGTCCACATTATAACATAACTAAGTCATCATAATGATCATTTTAACATCAATGTGATCTTCTTAACATCACTATTTCAGGACCATGTCATCACCATAAGATCAATATAATATGATCATCAATAGATCACCATAATATGATCAATTACATCACAGATCATCCATCCATATTTTTACACATTTTATTGATACAATATTACAATACAATACTCTCAATACACTTTGTTTTTATTTCATAATGAAAGCTTTAATAAAAGTTATATCTTTTGATTTTAAATTGTTTAATTTGTTTATCTTTTGATTGGCCATATAAAATTCTCCAAATTAACGAACTTCCATCGCCAGCAAATGCTATAAAGTTCCGCTTTAAGAATTTGCCTAACACAGTTTCCTTTCCAGGTTTTCTGAGTATCAGGTTTGGATTGCGCAGTTCAGACTTGGTGTTCAGAAAATCTTATAAGCCAGCAAGATTCATAACATCTATTGCTGCTCAAGCAAGAAGAACCATTGTGTTAGTGAGATTCAAACTGGTTGCAGATTGGATCTTATCTATCTCTCGATCATTGTACTTGCTTTCAAGTGAATATTACATAAGTCAGTAGGATTTGGTTAACTTACTACCGGAGAACGACCTCAGTTGGGAAATTGTTCCGGAGCCTCCTAGTACATTAAAGTTGAGTTTGGGAATGTTCCGAGTGAGAATAGTCTCACCACGAGATAGTGAGACCACGAAATCTTTCATGAAGCAAATAAATAAATAAATAATAACAAAACTTGACAAAATGAAAATTATATGCGGAAAATTAATTAATGAGGTCAATTTCGCAAATCACGACGAAACATAGCTTCAAACAATTCAAATAACTCATAAACAATTCAAATAATCTCATATTTCAAATATTCAACTTGGTAAGTTGCAAGCTCTTTCTTTTTCTCTCTCCTCTTTCTTTCTTCAATTCAATTCTTATTCATATTTTATTAAATAATAAAATGGCCAATACAAAATCAAAAATAAAATGGGAACAAAAGATGATTTGTAACAAGTTCATATTAAAAATCTGAAGTAAATCATCATTTTGAATCTTGCAAACATAATCAAGAGAATTTCAAAGAATTAAACAAACATATTGAACTAATCTAAAATGAACTCTGTTACAATTACAGCTTTCAGTTAAGAAGAATTGTCAAAGCAATGATTATTAACCCTTCTGATCTAGTAATAAAATGGTTTTAACATCTATGTATTGCAAGATAAATAAGTTATAAGTTGTCTTGTGGTGCAACATCTACATCAACTGTTATATCAGGAAGATTTCAGCATCGATATTGATTAATATGTCAGGTAAAATGATGGATCAATTATTAATTATTTTTCGAAGCAAATTTAATCATTTCCAACTTTCTATGTATGACATCAACAACTGCGTTTTGACTCCTGATCCAAGTTTCATCTACATCAAGAAAATAGAAGTGAAATTCTGCAATAATAATTCAATTTATCTCAACAAACCCTTCCAGTACGTCATCAAATATACTCAAATATTTACAATATAAACACAAATATACAACACTACTCTCTTATAGATCAATACAATTTCAGTTTATAAGAGATGATGGACAAAAAAAAATTTCTATGTGATTCTGATGATACAGTCTATATATATATAGACCACTTGTGAATCATTTCATTTTGGTTGTCAGGCCAGTGTGTGTGTATGTGTGTGTGTAGCAGCAGAAAATTTTCTTCAATTCAATTCAATTCAATAATTTCATTTCATTTCATTTTTTCATTCTCTGGGATTTTCGATGACAATTTTTCTTTTGCTTTATGATGTCAAGTGTGTTTGATGTCAAATTCTATAATCTATGATGATCCAAGTGCATTTCTCTCTTTATTTCTCTTGATTCTTGTTGATTCAATAAAATTTATTTCGAATTTTTTCGTTCCACACACACACAAAAAAAAAACATAGCACCATTTGCAGCCGCTCCTTGTATCAAAGCAATCAGTCCAAGTGAAGGATGGACAATCGGTGGTACTACAGTCATTATACTTGGAGATAATTTTTTCGATGGTCTACAAGTCGTTTTTGGTAATGTTACCGTTTGGGGAGAGGTAAATAATAATAATTCACAATGAAAAAAAAATCAATAACCAAATACCGTATATACCATATTTTAGCTATTAACTTCACACGCTATACGTGTACAAACACCACCACGAAATATTCCAGGTGTGGTCGAAGTTACATTGTCCTATAAATCGAAACAATTTTGCAAAAATGCTCCTGGACGTTTTATCTATGTCGGTATGTCTTTTTATCTATCATTTTCTTATAAATAGCCATGATGACACTATATAATCATTTCTATCTTTATCAATCAACTAGCCATAAATGAACCAACTATTGATCATGGATTTACACGATTATCGAAATTGATTCCACGTCATCCGGGTGATCCAGAAAAACTACCCAAAGTATGACATGAATTTGTTTGTTTGTTTATTTTTTCGTATAATGAATATCTTTATTCGATTTTTTTTGCATCTAGGAAATCATATTAAAACGTGCAGCTGATCTTGCTGAAGCTTTATATAGAAATACATCATCATTACCGCCACCAAGATCACCAGTGGCCAGTATGGCAGCAGCAGCAGCAATGTCAGGATTTAATGCATACGCAGCTAGTGCAGGTCAGTAAAACATTTATCATAGTTTTGATGTTCAATGTTCAAATGATATCTATAGATACAAATGATATATTGATGATAATTTATTATTATTATTATTATTCAGATGAATGATTCATTCTATGGAGAACAAAAAATCCGAAAAAAAGTGATCGATTAATCAATCAAAATGTAATCATTAATTTTTTCAATCTTTTTCCTATATCAATCTTTTCAGATTATTCTCGACATCAAACAAGCAGTGTATCACCTAGTCGAAGTTATGGATCAAATGCATCGCAAAGCAGTACAAGTAGTAGTGTTACATCATCATATAATGGTGGTGGTAATGGTTCTGCTGCCACTATATCATCAATGAATGGTAGTGCGGGTGGTGGAGTCGGTGGTGCTGGTGGTGGATATACTACAAGTCCAACAACGAATATGACCACTGGTTCACAAGGATTGTTTAATGGTAAATATTTTTTTTTCAATTAAATTTCATTGAATGAAAACACAATATATCTATGATAATGAATAGGAATGAGTGGAATTGTTGCATCACCATTTGCAATGAGTCCATTTGCAGCATTACCAACATGTAATGGTCAATCATATCATGGATCACCGATTGTCAGTGCAGCTAAATAACAACAAACAACAACAAAAATGTTTTCAAAATTTTGTATTATAAATCTATATATCATCCACATACACATTAACATATTGATTTAAAAATTTAAAAAAAACCAAAACTAGAAAAAAAAGACAAAAACAAACCAATTTACTAAATTTGTAAATTATTTTTCTAACCAAAAAAAAAAAAAGCAAAAAAATTTTAACCGAAAAAAAGATTCACTCAATTGTCAACCATCAGTACGAGAATCAAGAATTTTTTTACATTTGACATCCAATCCAATCCAATTCATCTATTATTCCCATTATTATTATGTGTAAATATTATCCAATTTAATCGAATTAATTATTACAAGAATCATATACATTCATTATTATTATTATAAATGCAAGCCAAATCGATTATCATTTAAATTGTGATGTGTATGACAACAACAAAACAGCAAACACATACAACCAAAACACATGAAAATAGCGGTGCCAATTTCTTCTCATTTTTTTTTTGTTTCGCCTCATCATTCATCGTCATTAAATTTGAATAATATCGACCGATTATCAAACACACACACACACACACGAACACGATTTCATTGCACACAGATTAATTTTTATTTTTCAAATTTTTTCCTTTGCTTCTTTATTTTTTTTTCATCGAATTCAAATTCTGTTCTTACTCATCATCATCATCATCATCGAACGAAAACATGACATATTCCGATTTTTTTGTTGCATCTCATTTATGAATGTTTCATTTTTACGAATTTGTTTTCTTTTATTATTTTTCACATTCCATTTTTTTTTTGTTAATCGATAAACGAAATGAATCCATTCGTTTAATTTTTCTTGTGTCCAAAATTCAACAGAATCTATCTATATAATTATCGAAAAAAAAAAAATAAAACAAAAACATATGGATCTATTCGTAAGTTTGATTTCGATATCGATTTTTGTGTGTGTGTGTAAAGTGTGTCGAATGACTTAATTTTATGGTGATGTTTGAGCCAAAACAAATTGATTAACTCATTTTATTCATTTCAGGATTTGTGACCATATGATTTGATTCGAATTTGAATTTTACCGTAATAATGTGCATTTTTATAAGCTGTCCGATTATTATTATCACGACTACGACGATGATGATGATGATGATTTTGTCACCGTTTTTTTCCTACTAAATCACACTTGAAAAAAATAGATGTATCATTGTGTTTTTTGTTTCTCCATTTGGGTTGATATTTATATCCTATTGTTATGATTCTCCATTCTCGATACGTTTTTTTTATACAATATACAAAATACTGTCAACCATCTGTTCATCGTGAAATTGGAATTAGATAGAAAAAAAAGCGAATAGAAAGGTTCCAAATCTATTATTAATGTGGCCATAATAGGCAAACAATGTATGTATAGTCCGTGCACATAATATTTTTCTCTCTCTCTCTCTTTCTCTATCTGAAAACCTTGCACGTGCATTGAATTTGAAGACCGACCATCATTTTGTTGTACGAGATAGATTTTTGGGCACAACAACAAACATCATTTCGAGTAGGCAACAAACATACATTGAATGAATGAATGTAGCTGAATAAATGATGATCATCATCATGATGATGGTGATGGTGATGGTGAATTGGTCTAATAAAGCAATTGGACAATTACATGATCACTGTCACCATTATACACTTGAATGAGTCAATATTTTGACACACAAACACACCATATTCCATGTTTATAAGCACACAAGCAAAGCATATGTGTGTGTGTGTGTTATAGCCAAAAAAAAAACAACAACTGGATAGAACTGAATAGCCATCATTTCTAATTAGCTCGAAACAAGTCACCTATTGTTTGGTTGGTTGATTCAATGTTCACGGGCCAAAGTTCACTTGTTCCAATCAGTTTGAAATGTTCACATTTTTTGATGATGATGATGATGATGATGAACATATCGGTGTAGTAGTTTAGTATTTTTTTTTTCATTTAATTTCACCTCTCTCTCTCACTCTCAATTGCAATTTTCAAAATTAAAGTCATGTCCAATTGTTGATGATGATGATGATGGAATCGACCATATGATTCTTTCATATGACATTTGGTTGGATTGATTATTATTGTGTGTGTGTGTGTGTGTGTGTGGCTGGTTCAGGTTCAATGAATAAAGAGAGAGAGAGAGAGAGATGTATAGAGATGGAATTATGGTCCAAACACAACCATATAACCAACCAACAAACTGATCAATTTACAACAAACCCCAGGCACAAGTGTGTGTGTGTGTTTGGGGTACCCGAACAATGAAACATAAAAATGGAGGAAAAAAAATATTTCGGACAAATTGGGCACAGGTGCTTTGATAGATTTAATGAGTACGGTTTTTGAAAATCTATCGTATTGTATTGTATATATGCCTGGATTCATCATCATCCTGAATACAATGTGTGTGTGTGTAATGTTATAGCCGAAAATCATTGAATCAATGACTCACGCGATCCAATGAATGAATGGACTGCTCATTTTTTTTTTATATAAAAACCAAGCAACAATGACAAAGAAAAAAACGAGAACCAGTGATAAATAAAATCCAATTTAACCAATATGTATTCTTGTTACATTCATTCATTTTAATAGACACAAAAAAAACAGGTCAATAAATGGTTTTTTTTTGTTTTGTTTAGTTTTTTTTTTTTTTTTTTTGGTGATTTACATCCAATATGTTCATTTTTAAAAAAAAATTAAATTGGAATGACCAACAAGTATATTGATCACTTTTTCGTTGTTTCATTTGATGGCTGGTATTGTTTTGTTTTTCAATGAACACGAAATGAAAAAAAAACTGGCCATTTGAAATGTTTCCAATCATTTAATTGCCGGTATTTTTTTTTTAATTTAAACAAGTGAACAGAGAAAAAAAAATTTCATCTGCTGCCATCTAGTTTTCAGAAAAAATGGTTCATTTTCTCACGTGACAAAACTCGGTGATTTTTTTTTTTTTAATTCTGGTAAAAATTGGAATCTTTTATATGAAGATCTGTATTATAAATGATGATGATTGTAAAAGTAAGAAACGATAATTGAAAATGAAAAATGATGATGATGATGATGATTATTATGGTCTACATTCAAAATGATATGGTTCATTGGTACGAAAATCACGCCATGTTGGTGGCATATCATTCAATAATCGTGAATCACATTTACGACATACAGCTGAAAATAGTGTTGAATAACTTCGTAACCATAGCTAAATGATCGAAGAGATAAAAAAATGGAAATTAAATCCAAAATTAAAAATCAATGATTGATATCTTACCATAAAAACTTTGATCGCACTTTCCATTTGAAAAGGAGCATAAAAATGTAAAATGGCAGCATTACAATGGTCAGTGATTGTACGAAACACTTTATATCGTGATGGTTTCCAAATATCCATCGTATCGTCTTGTAATAGATCAATGAAATTCGTAGCATATGGATTTCGTTCGGATATTTTAGCCAAATTATTCGATGTTAATTTATCGAAATTTTCTTCAAAACTTTTCACCAATACCCATTCGATGACCAATCCTCGCAACACAATGATAGCTCTTAAAGTTCGATCTAAAACAATTTTAAGAACAGTGAATACACCAAATGGTCGAACTACTTCGATGGACATCGCATCAACAGATCGTTGTAATTGTGCAATGAATGAATCGATTTGATGATTACTTAAATTATGATTATAATTAGCACGATTCGATGTTCGTTGTCTATAACGAGAATTTCGTTTACTAAATTTTGTTTGCAATGCCTGAAATGCCAATGTTGAATATTCTTGAGTGTTGCTCAACCATCGATATGATATGACCATATCGGGATACCAGGTTGTCTTTTCATAATTAGGATCTTGAGCAATCATTTCTGTGTTGGCTAAATTGATTGAATTCAGTGTTGGATATAACAACGTACAAGCAGTTTCCAATTCACGAACTCTGGTTTCCAAAACATTCGATAATGATGATAATTCACCCATATAATTATCGCTTTTATTCGGATCCATTTCAATTTCCACTTCTCTTGATGATTGATATGTGTTGGCCATAAATTTTAACGTATCAAGAGTTGCCGAACGAACCAGACTAACTTTTTTCAAAGCAGAATTGATTGTATTAAGATTCTCCATTGTTGAACTATTTTTTTTTTTTTTTTTGCATAAAATCAATCCGTAAATGAATCAAAAAAAAAAAAAAATTTGTCACCCAAAATTGACAACAAAAAAAACAGATTTGACATGCTGATGATTGAAATGATTCTAGAATTACGATACAAGATGGCGTTATTGCGATTAGAATTGGAAAATTCTATTCTTTTTTTTACACGTGTGGAATTTTTTTGTTTTGTTTTGTAAAGTTCATCAGTTCACCTGAATATTTTTCACATTTATTTTATTTTGTTGTAAATATGAATTTTTTTTTGTAATGATGCTCAATAACATTAGATAAAATGGCCAAAATTTGGCGATTCGTATTCACCAGAATACATAAGAATAAAACATTCCTTTTTCGTCTTACGGCAATTTTGTTAATTATATTTTATTTCACTATCTGGAAAAGATTGTATAACGCCGATGAATTTCATTTTCTGAGAAATAATAAACCATTAAAATATGGACATTTATATGAAAAATTAAATCCAGTGATTCAATCATGGGGACAAAATGGTCAACCAGTTGAGTTGAATGCTGATGAAAAAAAATTATCTGCCAAATCCTTTCCATCGGCCGCTTTCAATGTTTACATAAGTGATCGTCTCAGGTTTGGCTTATTTTTTATTTTTTATTTTCATTAATTTCAATTTATTCATAATATTCTTTTTTAGTCCTAACAGATCATTACCTGATCCTAGGCCTTATGAATGTGCTCAAATTAATTATGATCTTGATAATTTAGGCCATGTATCTGTAATAATAATATTTACAAATGAAATTTGGTCTGCATTGATTCGTACCGTTTGGTCAGTGGTTAATCGAACACCGAAAATTTTACTTAAAGAAATCATTCTTGTCGATGATTTCAGTGATAAATTTGAACTGTCCGAACCATTACAGGAATATGTTGACCATCATTTTGGTACTTTAGTCAAAATAATCCGGTTGCCAAAACGTGAAGGTTTAATTCGTGCTCGACTTGTTGGTATGTGATGATATTTATTTGAATGAATTATCAATTTGTTTGAAAAAATTAACTCTCAATATTCTTAGGAGCACGACAAGCAAAAGGTGATGTACTTCTTTTTTTGGATTCTCATTGTGAAGCCACCGATGGTTGGCTAGAACCATTGATGAAAGTGATCAAAGAAGATCGAACCAATGTTGTATGTCCAGTGATTGATATCATTTCGGATCAAGATCTTGAATATTTGGCTGGAAATCGTTATTATTTTCAAGTTGGTGGATTCATCTGGTCTGGTCATTTTATCTGGATCGATACCGACGAAAAAAGTTTGAAAAATAATCCAACAAAAGTAGTTAAAACTCCTACAATGGCTGGTGGATTATTTGCTATAAATCGGGAATATTTTTTCCAAATCGGTGCCTATGATGAACAGATGGAAATATGGGGTGGTGAAAATCTTGAATTATCATTTCGTCTATGGCAATGTGGTGGAAAACTTTACATTCATCCGTGTAGCCATGTTGGCCATATATTTCGTGATTATCATCCATATTCATTTTTGGGTAAAGATAGCCATGGAATGAATACATTACGTACAGCATTGGTTTGGATGGATGAATATGTACGATATTTTTTTGTTCATCGTAAAGATCTTAAATCAAAAATCAATCAAATAGATGTTTCATCTAGAATTGAATTAAGAAACAAATTGAATTGCAAATCATTTCGTTGGTATTTGGAAAATGTTTACACGGAAAAGAAATATATCTATGATCAAGATGTCATCGCATATGGAACTGTTCGTAATCCAATCACAAATTTATGTATGGATAATCTGAATAAAGTGGAAGAAGAAAAACATGAATTAGGTAATGTTTAATGATCAATGATTTTCAATTCAATGTGGCTAATTAATTTTCATCGATTTAGGTGTCTATGAATGTATGGATGTACCGTTGGATGAATGGACAAATCAAATGTTTAGTTTCATGAAAACGGGTTATATACGTAGAGAAGAAGGATGTTTAACCATTGATGAATATGCAACACATCGTGTTTTACTTGCAAAATGTCCAAGTAAAAATTTTAATACTAATAGAAAAAGAAAACATTTTATACATAAAAAAATGCAAACATGGATCCACACTAAAGGTGGACAAATTCGTAATGAACATTTTAATCTTTGTTTAACAACAGAAACGTTAAAAAGTTCTGATAATATTCGCGTTGTTGAATGCAACAAAGATGATCTATATCAAATATGGTGGTTTCAAAAATACACGGACATTCAATTATAACAATTTTTTTTCTGTGATATATATGACCATAAACAACCTTTAACCTTGTGCAACTTTTTTTTTCTTTGTCAAAAAAAATTGGCTTTTACATATGCCGAAATATTTGATTGGCTTTTATATATTTATTTTATTATCGATTTATTGATTAAAAATTGGAGACAATTTCAAATTGAAAAAAAAATTTCAAATTCTATTTATATCAACACATTTGTATTTTTTTAGCCAAATAAACAGGATAAACATAACATCAATTGATGATCATTATCTGGTTATCGAACTGGTATTCTCTCTCTCTCTCTTTCTCTCAATCAGTTTAATTTTAAATATCAACATTAATGGTAAACTCTAAAAATAGAAATCAACAGAGAAATGATTTTTTTTTTTTGATATCTATAAACCACCACAATGATGGCATGGTGAATGGAAAACAAAATCTGACCTACATTTCAAACAAAACAAAATGAAAAACAAAAACAAAGATCGAAATTCGAAACAGGTTGGATTTGGTTTCTCTCTCATTTTTTTTTTTTCATCGAAAAATCTTTCATTCAAAACACATGTATGAATGGATGTAAAAAAAAATAATTCAGATATCGAATTCGAATGCTGTCGAATAACAACTGCACGAAATCAAATTTGAAAATTTCAACGAAAAAATGTAATTAATAATGATGATGATAATGAATTCATCAGAAGATTTGGGACCATTTTTTCGCATCTCATTCCTATCAATAGTATTCATATTGAATTTTTTCACTTTATTTCATCTACTGTTTCGTTATGACAATAATGGTCACCATTATCGATCATGTATACATTTAACAAATTTTGTGCTCAATCTATTGCTAGTCAATGTATTCATATCGATATGGATACCATATTTATTTTCATCATTTTTCTATAAAACAATATGGCCCATGATCAATATTGAATGGCATTGTATGATACAACAAACGGCACCATTGATGATCTCGACATTTTTATTTGTTTCGTTTTGTTTTCAAAAAATATATGAAACATTCATTGCGAAACGAGCCAATATAATTTGTATGTTTATATTTCTCATTTGGATTCTGCCACAAACAATTTATCTGTTACTCACCCAATTAACATCGATTCATCAATATGAATATTATTTTATTGATCGTCGTCGTAATCATTCCATGATGATGATGATGATGATGATGATGACGATGATGAAGAAGAACATGGAATATTGTTATGTATTGATAAACTTGATTCATGGAACATCAGACAAATGTCTTGGCATTATGTTACCATTATTGTTCCATTAACATCGCTATACATTATTTGTATAGGTGCCAAACGTTTTTCCAAAACATTTACCAATACTAATCATTTGATCAATGTAAATTGTGATTGTCGATTCGATACAATTGTATTCATATGTCAATATAGTAATTTCATATGGCTACTTTTATTTCGACCACTGTTAACATTATCGGCATTGATTCATTATGGAAAAACATTTCAACAAATCCATAATCACGATGACGAATCTTCTAGCCAATTTGAACCAGAAATTCGTTCATTGACAATGGATCTTGGACAACAGATTATTCTACTATTTTTCGCCATATTTTTACCATTTTCACAACATTTTGGATTATTCTCTTTACGATCTAATCGTCATTTATTACAAGAATCATCATTGAGACGGAAAATGATCATATAAAATTAACGCACCCCCAAAAAATTATTCTGTGTATTATGAAATTTGTTTTATAAATAATAAAAATCAACAAATAAATTAACATTAAAAATTCAATCATCTTTATTGATTAATCTCAGAAATCTGACATTTCTTAAATCTTTTGAAACTTTACTCGAATCAATCAATTCAGCTTCTGGTTCAAACCAATCTTTTAGATTTTCTTTTTCAATAGAATGATTAATAAGTTCACTTTCGCCATAATCAGCTTGATCAAGTATTTCATATTCTTGTTCACGAAATTTTCGTTTATTCATCATTTCCTCTGATGTTTGATGATGATTCGAATTTGGCCGATAATATTGATTTTGGTAATGGTCATTATAGGAATTGTAAATCATTTCTGGATATGATTTCTCTGGATATGATTTCTCTGGATATTTATTCTCATATCTATATGGTACGATGGGCCATGAATCAACGATTGTCCACAGGCTTATCATCATGAATATGGTGATCTGCAGGAGAGAAAAAAAATTTGAATTTAATTTGTAAAAAGAATAAAAATTAATAAATTTACCTTGTAAAATGTTGAATGTTCCATTTTTTTTCTCAACGATAAAAGTCGATGAAGAATAATCCGGTTACAGTATTATTTCAACAGCCCTTTATATACCCTTCAGCATTATTGTTTGTTGTTTTGTCAGAAGCATCCATTATCTTAACGAATATTGTTAATGTTGGTGATAAACAACTTTTTTTTACTTGCCGTAGGCAAAACATCTACCACCACACTATACACATATACATAAACAGAATGTTGACCTTTTTTTCGGTCATTTGATCAAATTATAATGAAAATGATAGTAAACATTCCTTTGCTTCATTCATTTTGTATATATATGATGATGATGATTGAACGATTAATTGTCGGTGCATGTTTTCATTGGAAATTCAATCAATCATTTCATTGGTTCTATCTATCTAATATTTTTGATTGATTATGGTGAAATTCCTTTTTTTTCAAAAAAAAATCGATGTTTCATATTTGTTTAGCAATATGATAATTGATCATCATTCAGAAGATGATAATTTTCCATTTCATGTTCACAAGATAGACAACAACAATAACAGAATCTCTATATGTTTCGGTCGATTTGATTTGATATGATTGAGATTTGTTGATTTGATGCTGTGGTTATAAGATAAACAAAAATGATTAAAACATTCTGAACACACCCATCGAGATTGATGTTTATATTAACATTGAAGGCTTCTTCTTTTATATCCAATGTTGTGGGATATTTATATCACACAACGCATAACCATATACACACCAACAAATCTGCATAATGAGATCAAAGTTTTCCGCATGAGTTTATGGCCACTACACTATAGTATACTAGTCGTTTGAATCAAATCAAACTAGCTTCATTATTTGCTTTTGATTTCAATTGATAAATTGATTCATTTTCAATATGAATATCTTGAATTTGTTATTGCCTTTAATTGTTGCATTATTTGTAACTGCAAAAGAGATTACAACGGAAATTTCGGTGGAAAATTCTTTCGAAATATGTCCAGATGAATGTGATCCAAATGGCTGTCCTGTACCGAATAACGAATGTCTTGCTGGTTTAGTAAAGGTAAATTGCCATGAGAAAAGTATGAATTTCGTATGAACATAAAATTTTTTTACATTAAGGATCATTGTGATTGTTGTTTTGGCTGTGCACAACGTGAAGGTGAAAGATGTTATGAAGAAAAATTTAAAGATCAATTACCTGATGATTATCCAAGATATTCAAAATGTGGTGATGATCTTGAATGTCGTATTCGTACAGATTTAGAATCGACCGATAAACCAGAAGCAATCTGTTATTGTACAATGAATGAACCAATTTGTGGTAGTGATGGTGTAACATATGAAAATCAATGCCAATTTACTGAAGCACGATACAAGAATCGAAACAAATTGTTTGAAGTGGATAATCAACCATGTAAATCAAGTATGATTTTTGATAGTTTTATGTGTATAGTATTGAATTGTTGATCAAAACCATAATCATTTTAAAATAGGACCACAAATAATTTCACCACCAGAAGATACGACTAATAATACGGGCAGTTCAGTCAGTTTTTCATGTGAAGCAACTGGATGGCCATTACCCACAATTGAATGGCGATTGGAACGTGATGGTGGTATAGAGATACCAATACTATTGATGGATGAGGCACATTATGAAATTCTTACGAATCAAAGTACTGATTATGCAAATATTAGTTGGCTACAAATTATGGATGCACAACGTGAAGATTCCGGCAATTATATCTGTGTAGCTATCAATACCGAAGGTGAAGATAAAGCAGGCGCTTATTTGACGATTGGAAATTTTCAGAAAAGATTTGATATTATCGAAGAATGATGATGATGATGATGACATGTTTTAAATTGTTTCACTTTTCTTCTTTGATTTAATTTGACAAAATAAATACAAAAAAAAAAATGTTTTCATTTAAAACATCAATGGATCAAAACAATTGGCCACTTCAGTTGCTGCACGTAAACCGGATAAAAATGCACCATGTACAGTGGCTGGATATTCAAGGCTAGTATGTTCACCAGCAAAAAATAATCGTGGAATATGATTGAATGGAGCCAAAACTGGTTCGGCAATAATATCATAATCATTCGTATGTGATCGTATCGATTGATAGGAATGTGTTCCCAAATAAAATGGTTCACGTTCCCAATGTGTAACCAATGCTCTGGTATATTGTGGTATATTTTCAAATATTTCTTTCAGGCCACTATAACATTTACTTACAATTATTACATCTTCATTATTGGTGGTTGTGGTGGCGGTAGTTTCATCATTATCATTATCATTCAATAAATGATTCATATGGCTAATTGTTTCAACACTTTGTCCACATAATACAGATGTCACTGAATACATTTGTTTTGGTTTTTGTTTCATTTGAATGGATTTTTTCCCTTTATTCGATTTATTAATATCTAATGATGATGACGATGACGATGTTGTTGTTGCTGTTGTTGTTGTTTTGATTTCAATTTCATTATTATTTTTAGTTGGACTATTGAAAAAACTCATTAGAAATTCACCTCTACATTCACGTGACATGGCAACATTGCCAAGAAATTGATCTTTACAGTGCCAAAAATCATCATCAAATCCAAGAATAACTTTATTCACAGTACCGATGCCCAAATTTTCAATAGCTTGTCTTTTTCGTTGTGGCAATGGTGGATCAAAAATAATGTTATTGGTGAATTTCGCATCTTTCTGATCTTGAATGGCTTTTTTCAATACACCCAATGGCAATGTACAGATAACTGCATCACCTTTGAATGTCATTCTCATCATTTCTGAACCTTCATTCTGTTTGATGGCCAATACTTCAACACCTTTTGATTTGATGACAATTTTTTCCGCTCGCATTCGTTTCCAAATTTTCATTGAACATCCTTGTGAATACATAGCTTGCATAAAATTCATATAACCATCAGGAATAACATATTGTTCATTTGAATGATCAAAATCATCTTCGGCAAATTTTCGCAATGAATAATCCGATAGAGGAGCACCGAGAAAAAATTCCAACGTACCAAAATACCATTCAAATATTCGCATATCTTCTAGGGAAAAAAATTCACTACAACCTTTGAATTTATCGGCATTGAGAACTTCATTTTTTTTCAACGATATTTTTTTATGTATATCATTAAAAATGATACATTCCAGGAAGGCCATATGACTTTTCAATATGGATGCAAAACTACATTGATTATTCAATTTTCCATCATTCAATATGGTATGATCGAAAACAATGGTTCGATCAAAATCATCATCATCATCATCATCGGTATTATCTTGGCGATTAGTTTGATCTTCAAGACGAGGCTGTATGGTGGTTTTTATAAATTTAAATGAACGAAAAAATTGAATATTTCGAAAAAAGAATTCAAATTCTTGTACTAATGGTATTAAATTTTCGCCAAGATTTTCTTCCAATTGTAACATTTTTTGGCAATTTTCTTTCGCTTTTGTCGTTGCAGCCGTTTCAAGAAAATAGATGAAAACATCGAAAATATTTTCCGGCGATAGTGTTTGATTATTGAATTCGGTTATTTGATTTTCAATGGCCAGAAAATATAGTGTACGAAGAAATATCAAAAATATCTTATGCATAACAAGATCTTTTTTCTTATCGACCAATTCACCATCCATATATAATTTATGTTTGGATTTCAATTGTTTGGCATTCAAACCCAATTGTTTCATCACCGTACGTATTGGATTGCCTTTGATTCCATTCACAAGAATATTGCCTGGATCGAAAAATATTTCATTCTTATAGAATGCATAACATCGACCACCAACACGTTTTGATGCTTCCAATACGATTACATTGAAACCGAAATATATTAATTGTCTGGCTGCAGCTAATCCTGAAGCACCGGCACCAATCACAATTACGGTTCGTTCACGATTCTTTATGTTTACACATTTATCGGGCAATGTATTTTCAAACACACCGAAATTTACATAACCATATCGTTCTAAAAATCTGAAAATTTTCTCCGCCAATTGTAATTTCTTTTTGTCGTTGATTTTAATTTTTGCTTTGATAATTTCAGCCGTAAGACCAACCTTTTGGATGAATTGAAAAAAAAAATTTTAGTTTTCGATCGATTCTTTTCCACTACTTACCGATGGTTTATTATGCCAGATTCGAAGAATAGCATTACGAATATTTAGATAAGTATTACGATCTTCATCTTCAAAATAATTTTCTTCAATTTCTGTCATACGATTCTGTTTTAATCGTGATTCTTTAGCTGCACTTTTATTACTAAATTCTTCTTCATATGATGTTGGTATGAGCAAATCTTTTTCACTTTCTTCGACATTCGTATCGTTTGTTTCATTATCAGCACAATGATCATCAGATTGAAAACGATATTTAGCCGTGTTTTTCTTTCGTTTGGCCATTGATTTATTTGTTGATCGCGGTTCAAATTTTTTTCTTTTTTATTTCACGATCAAACACAAGCACACATTTTGAAACAAAACATTCAAAAAATTCATAAACAGCGTATTGAGGTGACAATTGTCAATCCAGCCGTGTTGAGTATATATTTATTTGAAGTGAAAAAAAAAATTTCTCGATAAACATCGATAGATGATTTTCGAATTTTCTTTCATTTAGAAATTTTTTCTTTGTTAGTTTTTTTCCTTAATAATCCACATTACACAACATTTGTCATGTCGGAATCAGAATCGATTGATGACAAACGAAAAATTATCGTAAAATGGTCAGGAAATGAATATGTCATTGATAATTTGAACGGTGTTGCTTCCATACAAAATCTTAAAGAATGTATTTATTCGAAAACTGGTGTCAAACCTGAACGTCAGAAATTAATGGGTCTCAAAACGAATAATGGTCTGTAATCAATTGATCAATTAATGGTTTGGTAATTTGGATTTCTTTTTCAGGTCGACCGGTTGATGTTGACACTAAAATAGAACATCTACTTATGAAACCGGGATTCAAAGTGATGATGATCGGTAGTAAAGAAGAACAGATTGCCAATATTGATCTGGATCCATCAGAAATTCCAAACGTGATCAATGATTTTGATATCGATGATGAAGCATTTGATCAGGTTGCTATTCATAATCGTAGCGAATATCTAGCTAAAGTGGAAAGACGGGTCAAAGATATTAAAATCAATGTAATGAATGCTCCAAGAGATGGAAAAAAACTTTTAGTTCTTGACATTGATTATACACTTTTTGGTAATGAAAAATTCCATTCTCTCAGTTTTATTTATTTACTCAAATATTATTATCATTACCAAAAAATAGATCATCGATCAACAGCCGAACATGCATCACAATTGATGCGGCCATATCTGCATGAATTTTTGACTAGCGCTTATCAGGATTATGATATTGTCATTTGGTGTGAGTATTTTTCGATGCTATTTTTTCGATGCTTTTTTTCTTAAAATTAATCATTTCTACAATAGCGGCCACCGATATGAAATGGATTGAAGTAAAAATGCGTGAACTGGGCGTTACGACCAATCCTAATTTTAAAATTGCATTCTTTTTGGATTCATCAGCCAGAATTTCTGTTCATACGGAAAAATATGGTGTCATCAATGTATGTGTTTGAATTGTGCTAATGAATATATAGCTGAAATAATTTATTCCTTCTTTCTATTTATTTTTAAAGTGTAAACCTTTAGGTGTAATATGGGGAAAATTTGAACAATACAGTGCACGTAATTCAATAATAATTGATGATCTACGATATAATTTTCTAATGAATCCACAGAATGGTTTGAAAATTAAAGCATTCCGTGAAGCATATAAAAATCAAAGCAAAGATAAAGAGCTGTATTATTTGGCTAAATATTTAAAAATTATCTCCCAATTAGATGATTTGTCCAAACTCAATCATGATCATTGGCATAAAATGATTTAATTGAATCTTTTTCCTTTTTTTTGGTATTTGTAAAATTTTTTCTTTTCAAAAAAAAAATTTCTATTCAAATAAAATTCACAAGTATCACGTCATTTGTGACTGTTGTTACTTTTTTTTTGTATGCGTTGACAAAAAAGAATTTTTTCGAATCATCATTTTTACACGTGTGTTTTATTTATTTTTTAAAAAATTAAAATCCATCGATCGATAATAATGATCAATAAATCGGAATTCAATTTCAATGTTGAAAAATTTCTTGACAATTTTACAAATATCGATGAAATTGTACAACATTTTGATGAAAAAATTCGTAAATATCGAAAAGAAATTGATGAAGATCCACGACGATCATCATTCGATCATGAATTGAAAACTAAATGTCAACAATTGACGGAGAAAATCACCAGAACCAGAACGTTGCGTAAAGAATTGGAATCCTTTTTGGATTGTGATGAAATTAAACAATTGTTAGAATATCATAAAATCTGTCAACAACAACAAATTGTATTCGATCAAATTCAATTGTTGGATGATTTTCAAAATCGTTTTGATAAAATACAAAACTTGTTGGACAATAGTAAAGAATTGGCCAATAATTGTGAATACAACAAAGCCCATGGAAGTATCGTTGAATCCATCGATTTATATGACAAGCTTGTTAAAGATGGTGAAAATTTATTCGAAAAATTACCATCACCATTCAATTATCGTCAAAAAGAAATTATTGAAAAATCGCTAAAAAATTAAACACTAAAATCATATCGACCAAAGAAGAACTATTGTATGATATGATACAATTGTTTAAACGGAATTTATATTTTGAAAATTATCAAGAACAAGATTCAAATGTTGATAATAGGATTTTTCATTTCGACTTCATTCAATCAATGTCATTGGAACAATATGAATCCTTTATTGATTGTATACTCGAAGAACGATATGATTTTCTTCTGTATTTCAAGAATATTTTCGATCAACTAAACAATCATTTCACGAGAAAAATTCTTGAAAATAATAAAAAAGCAATCAGTACCTCGGATGGAATTCATTTAATCGATGGTGATTGTGATAATTCGAATGATGTGATTGAAAATCTAGAAAAATTTATCGAAATCATTTTAAATCAATTCACAATGGATAATCAATTGAAACAAAGTAAAATTTTCAAAAAATTTATCGGTCAATTATGGTCTGAACAGCTATTCAAATGTGTTATTGATTATTATTTTGAAACTCAACTGCCAAAATGTGAATCAGAATTGGCCAATTTTTTGGAATTACTACAACAAGGTAGCCGTTTAGAGAAGAAATTACAATCATACGATATGATTGACGATGAAGAATCGGAAACATTACGAACATATCGTGAAAATATCAAGAATCATTTTTCCACAAAATTATGTCAAGATTTTATCATAAGAATGAAACGATTATTGAAAAAACCAATGGAAACTATTTCATCGAAAAAATTATTGCAATCATTATCATTGGAAGAAAAATCAAAATTTTCCGATTGTCTAATTAGTGATTATATGCTATCGGTGAAACAATTATTCGAGGTATGTGTTTTTTTCAATATTCGAATATTGTATTAACACATTTTTTGTTTAAAATTCAGGAGATGTCAGCACTGTTGTCAAATAGTTCAAAAAATTTATCATTATTATTATCGGAAACAATCTATTTGACATGTGAATTATTCATTGCTATAGCACCATATAGATATCGTGAATTGATTGAACAGGATGCAAAAGAAAATGCTATATTCCATAATAATTGTCTCATGTTTGGTCATCTAATGGAATGTATGGCATTGACACATAAACCATATTTAGATTCATTATTTGAATTATTGCCCAGCATACGTAATGTTGGATCACAAATATTTTTGAATCAAATGCGATATCAGGAACGTACATTATATCGTTATATAAATAATGAAACATTCATACAATCATTACAGGAGATTGTCAATGAAACACCACGCACTGATCTACGTATTAGTTCACAATCACATTTTGAATTTCGTGAATGTTTAAATAATTGTTTGAAACATTTAAATTGTTTACAAAATTCATTTTCAACAGTGTTATCGATGAAAATTTATAACAAAATAATGTCAACATTATTGCAAACATTGATGAATCAATTTATTGAAACAATTTTATCAATGAATGATATTAGTTCATTAGGATCATCACATCTTTATAATGAAATTGATTATTTTTGTAAAGAATTGAAATTATTTTTAATCGATTCAGAAGATGTTATATTTAAATGGATGAAATTGAATGAAATTAATTTTCTACTCAAGGTAAGCAGCATTTTTTTTTCTCTCGTTCACTAGACTGATAAAATTTGATATTTTCTCTTTCTCTCTCTCTTTTAATTTCCAAATATGTTTTTTTTTTATTCGTCCAAAATCTTGTTATGGGTCTATGTCCAACATGACATAACAACGACGACGACGACAACGATATAATAAAATAGTCTTCATTACTGGAAATACTAAATCGATGGGCCGATGGCCATGGATTATTGGCTACATATCTTAAACCGGATGAAGTCAGACATATGATTCGTGCATTATTCCAGAACAATGAAAGACGTGCAAAAGTTTTGGCAAAAATTAAATAGCAAAAAAAAAATCAACAACAAAACCAACAACTACGACAACGTAATGTGAGTGTTGAATCAGTAAAAAAAAAACTTTACAAATATTTTTTTTTTTTTGTATATTATATTATTATAAATTATAAACAATATCTAATATTGCCAATTAATTTATTTTTCATTGATTTTGATATAATAATAATAATAATCGTAATAGCAAATTTCGAATAAAATGAAATTTTTCCTTTTTTCCATCTCTCATATAATGATAATAATAACAGACACACATCACATCATACACACAAGTAGTATATATGGACAAACGATAAAATGATCAAATGAACTATGAATGAAAATGGAAAAAATAACAACAACAACAACGACGACGACTAAAGCAATAATCGAGAGTGATTAATGCTTTGATGTCGATTCATGTGTTTGTGTGTGTTTGGGTTTGGGTTTGTTGCTGCTTTTGCTTTAGCTTTAGCTGCTGCTGCTGCTGTTTATAAAAAGTCCTGGTATATATTATTTACCGAGAAAAAAAAACTTTCTCTCTCTCTCAGCAGCAGCAACACAATGATTGGATGAATATGTGAAAAAGAGAGATGGAGATGAATGAATGAATGAAAACATGAAAATTGTTCTTGTTTCTCTCTTTCTGTGTGTGTGTGTTTGTATATATATGATTTTAGGAGCTTTTGTAGTATGAAAAAAAATGGTTTTTTTTTTTTTTGATCTGTGATTCTTGTGTGTGTGTGTGTGTGTGTGTGTGTGTGATATATAATGACGATGATGCATGCATGTATGTATTTTGGTGTGTTTGTGTGCCAGGCAAAAAAAAAAAAAAAAAATGTAAAGTGTAAAGAAAACGAAAAAAAAACTTTTTTTTTTATTTTATTTTATTTCAGCCAATATGAACTTGTCTGTATTTTATTATTATTGTTGATGATTATGAAAGTTTTTTTTTCTTTTTTTTTTTTTGATTATCAAAATGCAACGACGACGACGATGCAAACATCATGCTCCATCATCATCATCATCAATAATTAAAAAAAAAAAAGAAAATTTTTTAATTTAATTTTAAAAAATTTTGATTCAATTTTTTTTCTGTTTTGTTTTTGTTTGTCTCAATAAAAATTCTTGCATGAAATTTGTTATTTTTTTTTTTTTTGATATTCGTTTGGCTAGTAATTTTTATTTCATTGTCGTTTGTGTTTGTTGTTGTATATATTAAAAAAAAACATGAAATAAAATGTTATTATATTGTGTGTCGGCTACACAATAATAATAAAACATAGCATAGTCTGACGGCTGGTTTAGCTTGTATATATATGGTTTGATTCTCTTCATATTTTTTTTTCTCTCGCGTAGCGAAAATAAAACGTCGGCTTTGAAGCGGCTGGCTAGGAAAATAAATGTGGGGAACCCAGCATTCACACACACACACACAGCATGATTATAGACAGAGAGAGAGAGAGAGAGAAAAATTGGTCTAAAAGTGTCCATTTTTTTTTTTTTTTTTTAAATATCTGTGTGTGTGTATCGTATCGCATATCGGCCATTTCAATTTGAAATAAACCATATGAATACACACACACACACACACACAAAAACCAAACCAATATGTGAATTAGATTAGTCGCGCGCGAGTTTTTTTTTTTAGTGGAAAAAAAATATGACCATATCGGTCATTTTATTTCTCATTCGGTTATTATTTTTTTTCCTGGTTGATCATTTTTTTTTCTTTTTTGTTCATCGTTGTCGATGATGTTTATTGTTTATTTCCAATTGTTAATTAATTAGTATTTTTTTTTTCGGCAATTGATACAATCTATCCAATTGATTGATTGATTGATTGCTACATATAAAAAACGGTAACCATAGGATCGTTTTTGTTTTTTTTCGTTTAGCAATAAAATAATAAATTAGATGAGTTAATTGAAAATTTTCAATAAAAATTCCAATATTTTAGGATTTTTTTTGTGTGTGCATCAATTTTTGTTCCACAAATTGTGAATATTTTCTTCTTTTTGTCTTTGTTCCATAATATTGTATTGTTCCATGATGATGATGATGATGAAACGAATATTGTTCCGTTTCTGTTTTTTTTTTCTTTTCCAGTTGTCAACAGTCATCATCATCATTGTGTATATGTTTGAAAAGCAATATATTTTTTTTTTTTTGACAAACGAACAAACGAAAAAAAAATAATGATAACAACAACAACAACAATGACAGCGTAGCAAATAATAATAATAATAAAAAAAATGAAATGAAACAAGAAATCTCGACTAAATCTCTGCAAATGTTGGCAAACAACAACAAAAACAACAACGACGACAATCGACGAAAAAGAAATTATTACATTTCTCTCTCTCTCTCTTTTAGAATGTAGGAATTTCCAGAATTTTTTTTTCATCATTTTTTTGAAAATTTACACGGTAAAAGTTTTTTTTTCTCCATTCAAAATGGACAAAGTGAAAAAAATACTTTCATTGTATTTAAATTTCATTCACTGGTGGTGGTGGTGGTGGTGAAAAAGTTTTCATTTTGTTTTTTTTTCTCATCATTGTCATCATCATAATTCAAGAATTTTTTTTTTGTATGATCAGAATTGCTTTGTGGATAGTCATGTTGGAATGTGGAATTTATTATTCCGTTTTTTTTGGGGGAGGAGGCAGGGGCACTAACTTTTGGAAAAAAATTCTATTCAAATTGAAAAATTTGATTCCTTAGTTTTTTTTTATTCGCTGGAAATAATTTAATTAGGAAAAATTTTTGTCTTTTCTAAATTAATCACTTTATTACCGAACAAACAAAAAAAATCAAATGACTTATTGATTGATTGATTTATTGTCAATATTTTTCCAATCATTTCCGTCAATGATGAATACCATTATTACAGTATCAAATTACATTGTTTCCGTTTCCGTATGAAACATATGAATTCATTTATTTATTCTTACAAATTATGATTGCTGAATATTCTGATATTTTGTTGAAAAAAAAAAAATTTTTTTTTCACTAAAAATAATGGAAAAAAATATCGGCACGTGTTTTGATTTTCAACTAAAAAATACATCACATATCATCTTTCTTTTCATGAATGAATTGAATTTTGGATTTTTGTTTTTTTTTTTTTGAAAAATCACATCGCGTTTTTTTTCGTCCCATCATTATCATCATCATTTCGTTATAATGGTGAATATAGTATAGAGATATAAATGATTTTTTTTCCACTACCATTTTGTGTTTGATGATGATTTTTTTTTTTTTTTTTTTTTTTGGAAAAAATAATAATTGTGAATGAATAAAAAAAAAAAAAAAGGAGGTGCTGCTGATTGAGGAGGATGAAAATGATACGTAATAGTAGTAGTAGTAGTATTAGTTATTGTTACACATTTTATCATCATTATAATATATATAACGTTGTAACAATAAGACATGGAGAGGGTGCGGTATGCACATATACACACACAATAAGCGGATACAAAACAATTACAATATTGCTTTGTATTCTTATATATTAATAAATATAAAAAAAAGAAGAGAAAAAATGCAATAATCTCCCCCTCTCTCTCTCTCTGTCTATTTGTGATATAAAAATACAAGTTTTGATTATATGAACGAAAAAAAAAAAATATATTAATGCCATTAACCATTACTACTACTACTACTACTACTACAACCAAATAAAACTTTTTCAAAACATATTTTTTTTTTTTGAAACAACCTCCTCCTCTTCCTCATCCTCATTTGTTCATTTATACATACATTCATAGATAAATAAATGATTGAGGAGGATGAATATATCTATTTCCCTTCTTTTTTTTTTTTTTTTTTTAGTTCGTTCGTTTACGTATATATATTCTCTCTCTCTCTCTCTCTTGCACACCCTCAAAACTCATGAATGAAGAAGTCATATCATGCAATGTGCAATTCCATTCCAAACACACACACACACACACACACACACACAAAAAAAGTGTTCAATTTCATTCCATCCAATTCATTCAGTCTGTTAGTAATAATCATTTCGTTTGGATGTACAATTTTCATTGTGTGGAATCTTTAATTTTTTTTTCTGCAAAATCGAAAAATTATTTCGTGTATGATGACGGATTTTTTTTTGTCCATATCTCTCGTGTTCAATTTTGTGTTCAATGTTGTTGTGTATTTTTTTTTTTTATTAAAATACGAAAATAAAATTATTTGACGTGTGCGCACACGCATTACAATCGTATTTTATTTATCCATCATTCATTCAATATTTAATATTATATTCGTGTTTAATGTGAACATAAAAAATTTAAATTTTTTTTAAATTTGTTGAAAAACAACAACAATCCAATTATATAATTCGAATCAACAACACTAACGCACGCAAGAAAAAAAAAGAAAAAAAATGTTTAAACAACAGGATATATATGGTGGTGGTTATATATAATCTGATATCATCATCATTATTTCATCTTATAAATCGATCATTCCTCGCCAGAAAAAAAACAAACAAAACAAGAAGAAGGTAATTTTTGATTCATTTTTTTTTTAAAAATTCGAATGTGAATTTTTTTTTTCGTTTATGAAAATCATCATCATTGATGAATGAATTTTTTCATTGAATCTCTGTGTATTTTTCGAACGTTTTTTTTCTGGTCAATTTTCGAATGTTTATTTATCACACACACACACACACAGAAATATTTCATTATTTATTTGACATGTATTTCTCTCCATATTTCTCTAACCTGAAAAGAGAAAAATATTGAATTTCTTAATTTTCTCAACATTCAAATGATAGCAAAAAAAAAAATTCCATTCTTTGTGCTTTTTGTCTAAAATTTTGTGTAAAATGATCCAATTTTTTTTCTCGCCAGCAAAAAAAAAATAAATGTTGCCACTTTGTGTGTGGCTACAACATCAAACAAAAATGTACATTTTTTCCTGTAAAATCCAATTCTTTTGATTGAATTTTATATATCACAATTAGTTTTTTTGGGTTTTTTTCGTATCAATTTATTCATTACAATTGGCTTTATCTCAATACACACACACACAGAGCATATATTTATTCAGTGCTGGTCTCTCTCTCTCTCTCTCTCTATACACATTGTCCAATGGTAACAAACACACACGCAAATTCACCTTCTCTACTCTGGATATTATAAAATTTTTTTTTCCTTTTGTTCCTTTTTTTCAACAACAACAGCAGCAACAACAACAACAACAAAACTGAAAAATCTATTGATGAAAAATAAAAAAAAAACTATAAAAAAATACGTTATTTTTTCCTGTATAAAAAAAATCATCATCATTATTATTATTATCATTTGCAATGATCGTCATGATGATGATGATCATCATCATCATCATCACGAGTCTATGCATTTTTTTTTGATATATAATATTTTTGTTGGCATGATGATGATGTTGTTGTTGTTGTTGTTGTCGATGTTGATTATGATGATGATGATTATGATGATGATCATGATGGTTCATGGACACATTTATTTCATTCAAACTTTATTTTACATTGCACTATGAATGACTTTACTGACTGATATATTCAAAATATATAAAAATAAAAATCCTGTATTCAAAAAAAATATGTTATGATTAAATTCTTATGACGATATATTCTCGACTTGTAGAAATTGTTGTTGTTGATCATGATTCTTGACAATGATTTTCATTTTGTATTTTATTTACCCAATGAATGAATGAATGAATGAAATGTTTAATTTTGTTATTTTCTGTTTTTTTTTCTTGGAAAAAAAGAAAATTCCAAAAATTATTATCTAATGTTAATGATTACTTGTTGTTGTGGTCGTCGCTGTTGTTGTTGTTTTTTTTAAAAAATTGACTATTAAAAAAAATCAATTAGTAAAAAAAAACGTAAAATTTTATCGATTAATATTGGATAATTGATTTTGTATTTTCAATTTATTGTCGTCATATTACACACGTATTTTTTTTCTTCTTCTTTCTGTCTGTCTGTCTGTGTGTGTGTGTGTGATTTTCAATTTTATCATATCAACTGAAAATCATCATCATCATCCATTATCTTTTATTATATATGTAGCAGACAATATTTTCTTTCTCTGATTTTAATCTTCAAAAAAAAAAAAAATGAACACACTAATATGGCATTTCTCATGATGATTTTTTTTGTTCTTTCTTTCTTCTGGTTCTTCGTTATTGTTGTTGTCGTTATTTCACACATTATAAAAAACAACAACAACATTGACAATTCTCTCTGTCTCTTATATTCAATTCCATATTATTTCAATTTATATTCGTTTGGTGTGTGTGTGTTTGTGTCTGCACTTTTTATCGTTTCAAAATTCTGCCCATTCTTATTATTCGAACAGAAAATAAAATGGACAAAAGTCTCTTTCCTCTGACTCACTTACTCACTCTGTGTGTGTGTGTGTGTGTATGTGTTAATGATGATTATTATTATTGTACTGCCGTTGTTGTTGTTGTTGTTGATATGTTTTATGTATGTAGAAATAGAGAGAGAAAGAGAGAGAGTTTTCTCATATATGAAATGTTTGTATATGTGTGTGTGTGAGTATGATGATTGTCATTTTTTTCTATTTATTATAATAGGACTCTGATGTGATCATTTAATACCTGTGATTTTTTTTTATTTTATTTTTTGTTCTAAATTGATTAAATCTAATTGATTTTTTTCTTCCATACTTTGATAAATCGAATTCGGTTTCAATTTATCCCCATTCATTTATTCAATCTATCAAATCAATCGATAGCGATCGAATCCTATATTTTTTCAATATATATTATTATTATTGCAATTATTCCAATTCGGTTAATATTCATTAGTCAAATTGTATGTTTGTTTTGTTTTGTATTTTTTTTCATCTGATTATTAATTGATATTTTTTTTTGGTATCATTATTATCGCCGTACACAAAATGTATTATTACATTGTTTTGTTTTTTTTTTTATTCATTTTTTTCCCTATATCTCTGTCACTTGTTCTATATATTCCTTATATTGTATCTGTTTTTATATATATAGTAAAAATAAAACCTTTGCGTTTGTTATACTTCTAGGACAAAAATAGACAATAATATATGTATATATATATCCATAAATCCAATTGTAATAATAATGATGATGATAATAAACAGTAACAATAATAATACACATACAATAAGCAATTTATAATGGTTAAAAAACCGAGAGAGTGAGAGAGAGAAAAACGAAAAAAATGCCATTTATCTTCACTGGTAATCATCATCATCATCGACATCATGTTTGTGTCTTTTTTTTCGCTTACTTTTCGTTTGTGTAAGTGTGTGAGGTTGTGTCATCAGTATTTCTATTCGAAAAATTTTTTTTTTTTAGTAGTTGAGATACATATTTATTACCAGAAAATAAAAATCGAATCGAATTTTTTTTTGGGCTTGAAAAATAACACATTTCCTCTTTTGATTTTCAAAGGAGAAAAAAAAATTTTTTTGGTTAAAAATCAAATGGACAAAATACGCGTATCGTTTACTAACTGATTGATTAAATGAAATTTGTTTTTCGTAATATGATTATTATCATTTGTTGTTGTTGTTGTTGTTTTTTTTGTGATAAGATTCTGTGATCTGTTGTTGTTGTTGTTGTTGTGGTTGATTTCATCATCATTTTGATTACACAAACATTTTGTGTGTTCTAGTTTTTTTTCATATTTTTTTTTTTTAATTTGAAAAATTATTATCATCATTTTTTTTAATATCAATCCACAGGTAAATGGAGAAGAAGAAGAAGAAAAAAAAAAAAAACAGGGACAATGTATGAAATGAATCATTTTACCTTTTTCATTATTATTATCATTATTGTCAATTTTGAACATTGAATAAAATAAATAAATATATAAGTTTATATGCTGTGTGTTTGAATAAAATGATGATGATGATGATGATGATGATGTTTGGTATTATGTGACAGCCACAATAACAACAACAACGACAACAACAACAACAAACTATCATCATCTAAATGATGATGATGATAATGGTAGTGGTGATGGTGGTGGTGGTGGTGGTGCGTAGCCATCATCAATGTGAAATATAAAAAAAAACAGCTTGATCTTTTATTTCATGATGATTTTATTATGTTGTGTTATTACGAAACGAAATAGTGAATGAAATGAATGAATGTAAGTGAATGAGTGAGAGAGAGATAGAGTGCATCGAACCACACACATAATATATACGTTTCAAACGGTTAAAATGTTGGTGGATATCTCTCCATGTGTCTCTGTTTTTTGGGGGAGGGGGAGGAGGATATATACATTGATAATCATCTTTTTTTTTCTTTTCGGGTCCGTTTTTCATTTTTTCATTTTTTTTTTTTTTTTTTTTGAATTTGATTGAATTTTTATTTTTGTTTTTTTTTCGTGTAACGTTTGCCAGATTGAAATTAAATTATTTTTCAAATTCAAATTTTTTTTTTTTTTTTTACATTTGTCTTGAATTTTTTTTTCATTTTTATTTATCGAATATTTATTTATCGATATGCAGGTTTAACATTAATTCTGTCTTTGCTCTACAATTTTTTTTTTTTGTTTTTTTTTTTTCCAATTTTTTTAAGTGATTGTTTTTTTTCTCATATTCAAACAACAGCAACAGCAATAATATTTACGAAAAAATTTTCTCATTTTTTTCCTTGAAAGAAAAAAAAAGAAAAAAAATGACCCGATTTAACAATGAATTGTCAACGACAACGTCTTCGACGACAACCACAACAACAACAGCCACAGCCACAGCAACAAAAGGCAAGACAACTTGTTCTACTGCTAATTTTTCATCATCATCATCATCATCATCATCATCACCATTAATGGTCGATATCGATAATAATGAAAAAAAACCAATGGTGAAACTAATTGGCCAACCATGTGGTCATCATGGTTCATATACATTTTATAAAGCATTCAGTTATCGTTATCGTTCTGATGATCAACATGAACGTGTTCTTATGTTGGGTGAATTTTTTTTCATACGTATATCACCATCGGATGATCCTTGTATTGGTGAATTACAATTAGTTTGGGATGATCATCAAAATGATCAACAATTATCATCAACCCGGTTATATTTTCTACCGGAACAAACACCGGATGGCCGTTTATCACATCATGGACAGGTAAATATAAATTTTTCAGTTGAAAAAAAAATTTTTTTTTCGTTCAAAAATATTGACATATTTTTCTGTTTTATTTGAAACAAAACAAAAAACAAAAATTTAGCACGAAGTAATGGCTGCAAATGATAAAGTTATATTGAAATTAACCGATCTTGTTACATGGATAACACATGATGTGGATTGGATTGCCGGTTCACCATACAAATGGAAGCCATCGATACAACAACAACAACAGCAACATGATAATGAACCATCAACAAAAACCAAACAAATATTATCACCATTAGCATTTATTCATAATCAAAATGTGATACAACGTACAAATGAATCATCACCATTTCTAACATTACAACGTTATATATCAAGTTCATGTAAAATAATTTTCAATAAACGAAATATGAATATGAATGAATATAATATCGATACAAAATCATCATCATCATCATCATTCAACAACAACAATAATAATAATCATCATCAATGGAATCAATTAAAAAATGGTGATGATAATAATAATTTTCGTTCATTTCAATCAAGTCGTGTTGATTTTACTGATATAATTCCGCTAAAATTAAGTAAGTAGTATTTTTCTATTTTTGGTTTATTATTTACCAAAAAAATTGTCATGTCAAATTCATTTTTTTTGTTGTTGTCATAGTCATAGTAACCTTAAGGATGATTTTTTATTTTCTTTTTGATTTGAATCGAAATTTTCGTTGTTGTCGTTGTTGTTGATCAGTTTGATAGATGGGAATAGATTTAAAAAATTTTTTCCAAAATATTTTTACAGTACACACACACACAGTGGATATAGATAGATAGAATCTGACAGATTTGACATGTTTATCTTGATTTGGCCATCATCATTAATGTAAAATGTGATGAATTTCGTTTTGTTTTGTTTTAAATCTTAAATTTTTTCATTTTTTCATTTTTGCTTTATTCAATATCTACATAGATGATGATATCAATTTTGAGCATCGAAATCAATCAAAATTCAATCAATCGAAATAATTACAACATAATTATTGATTTGTCTATAGAAAGACAATTATTATGTGTATGGATGTTTATAAAAGTGTAGTGGTAGGTTTGAAAAATTGAAAAATAGCCGATTTAAGCAGAAATATATAAAATTGGATTGTAAAAACACACACACACAGATAGATCGATCATCGATATATACTTTTATCATCATCATATATGAAATGAAATGAAATAAAAAACACACATAGACATTTGTTCGGATTTTTTTTTCTTTTCTTTTTCTTTTGTTTTGTTTTGTTTTGCTTCTATCTATCAATGTTTCGTTTAGCGTTTTTATGCTTTCAACCATTTTTTTCCCTTCTTTTTTTTGGGTTTGGTTCGTTGTACTTATATTGTATTGAATAGTTTTATTCGGTTTTTTTTGGTTGATTGTATTTTCGTGTGTGTGTGTGTGTGTGTGTGTAGCCTAAGCACATTGAACATTTTGTTGTTATTGTATATACACTGTCGACTGACGATCTCACTTCTCTCTCTCTCATCGTCATCGTTTTTATTTCGTTTTGGTGAATTTTTATTTTTCACAGAGAGAGAGAGAGAGAACGCGCTAGCTATAGAGAATAGTATAGTTGAATATATTTCAATGAAAGACAGAGAGAGAGATACAGTGAATCGAAATGAAGATTTTTCGTAGAGAGAGAGAGAGAGAAAGATGTATGAACATAATATATACATACAGAAAACATTGCCAGTGAGAGGATGATGATGATGATGAAAAAAAAAAAATAAAATGAAAAAAAAAAATTGGGAGAAATATAAATAAGAACAAGGGTCTTGAATATTGGTGGTGGTGGTGGTTGTTGTTGTATTATCAAGTTGAATCAAGTCCTTACACAGAGAAATCCATATCAAAAAAAAAGAAAAAAAAATCTGTCTCTTTTCCATCCGCCAACAAAAAAAACATCTTTATGAATTGACAATGTTGAAAACAAAGGAAAAAAAATCCAACTAACTAACTAACCAAAAAAAAAAAAAAGAAAAATAGTTTTGATTTTGATTTTTAGTGTTTTTTTGCATTTGGATGAATAATTTTGTTTTGTGTTTCTCCCCAGTTACCTATCAAATTTTATTATTTTTGTTTTTTTTTTTTTGGTATTGGTAATAATAAATATTATTATTATTCTTATTCTGATAATGGAAAATCAATCGTTTTCCAATAAATCTCAATATTTCATTTTAACAAGGCATATTTCCGATTTTTGTTTTTTTTTCATTTTGTTTTGTATATAAATCCTAGAAATGTTATATATTCCATTTCTGTTTTTTTTTTGTTGTTTTGTGTGTGTGTGTGTGTGTGTATATATGGTGGCTATATAGTCAATGATGATGATGATGATTGTAATATATAAGAATGGAAATATGCCATTTCCGTTGCCTTGGATTGTGTTGTATTGTATTTTCGTTTTTTGTTTTGTTTTGTTTTATTTGACGCTTTCTATATATGTATATAATGCATTCAGATTCAAAATTTTTATTTATAATTTGATCATGATCATGATGATATGATTGAATTGATTTGAAATGAATGATAAAATAACGATAATAATTTTTTTTTGCAAAAACATTGCTATTTAGAGAATGAGAATTTACATTTAAACTTTTCTGGCTAAAAAAAATCATCAAATAGTTTATAACAGCAGCAGAAGCAGAAAAGAAATGAACCGAATTATTATTATTTACACACACACACCGTATATAAATGACACTTTCATTATTAATAACTCAGATTTTTATTAGATTTTATTATGATTTTTTTTTGTTCGTTGAAATGATGATTTTTAAATGTTTTTTTTTATATAATACCAAAAATACCAAGCAGCCTATTTCTTATTTTTGTGTGTGTGTATATTGAATACAGTGGAGCACAGAATGACAATGTGTGACAATTATTATTCATCATTGTCGTCGTCTTCGTTATTATAATTTATGATTTTCTTTGTTTTATTCATTACAACGACAATCATCATCATATATATAGATAGATTTAGGTTCGGTATTTCTATATATTTTTTTTTTTTTTATTACTGATGATAATTTCGAATACACCATAGACACATACACACACACACACAGACTATAGGTCAGATAATGAGGAAAAAAGAAAAAATGAAAAAAAAAAGAAGAAATTTTCTATATATAACACATGTGTATTTGTATATTTTGTATATGTTGGTTATGTGTAATAATAATTGACGTAACTCGAATTGAGATTTTTCATTCTACTGCTTTGATTATCATCATATAATGAAACTATTGGATATTTTTGTAAATGATAATTGATTGATTGATTTTGTTTTGTTTTGTTCCGAAAAAATTTTTTGCCGTTTTTTTCTTTTTGTTTGTCTGTTCATCATCATCATCATCATTTTTTTGTCTTTGACAATTAAATTAAACTTATCATTATTTTTCATTTTAATACTTAGAAGCAAATGAACATCAAAATGATCTTTCAACAGTGGTGGTATTATCATATAATCGTTATTGTCGTTATCGTAATCTATTGAAACGTATAGAAGGCAGAGAAGAAGAGGAATTGTTTGGCCACTATATTGTACAGAATTTATTAACCGAATTGGGCATTCCACAACAACGAAATAAATGTGTTCATATATTATTCTGTCGTGATACATTCAATAATGAAGCTTTATTGAATAATGATCTCAATTGTGACCATCTAGGTAAATTATTAGGATTTTTTTTATCAATATTAATTCGTTTGCTTTTTTAAAAAAAAAATAATAAATTTTTCTTTTCCTTTCCATTATTTATATTATATAGCTCCTAAATTCAAAGGTCGTCCAAAGAAACGTAAACACAAAATTGTTCAACGACCATCATCACCTGAATCGATTAGCAGTTCAGAAGAAAATGGACAACGATCATTTCTACCAAGACGTACTAGACGTACAACGGCTGCTTCGACATCTACTACATCGATCAATGATCAACCAATTTCAATCAATGATAATCACGAACACAATCATCAACATCATCATCATCATAACCATCGTCATCATCATCATCATCATCGAAGAAAAGGAAAAAAGAATCAACAACAACAAAACAAACGACAAAATCGACAACAAAATTTAACAAAAATCCTGAAAAATCACCTTTAAACAAAGACGATGATGAAAATGGTGATGATTTGTGTGAATTGAAAAAAACAAACAGCTACAACAACCAAAACAACAACAACAACAACCACAGCAGACGAAATACCACCGGTAAAGAAAATAATAAAATGGCTGCGAATAGAAATTCAACAACAAATATTATTGATAACAAAAACAATTTTCTACGAGAATTGAATAAATTCATGGCCAAACGTAATACACCAATACAACGTGTACCTAATATGGGCTTTAAGAAAAGTAAGTATGAACCATATCGATAATAATGATCAAAATTTGATCTTCTTTCCATTCGTTAATTGAATTTTTCTTTGTTTGTTCGTTATTTAATCCTCTTTATTTTGTTTTTTTTTTTTTTTCTTGTTTACTTAATAACAATTATTATAGTTGATCTATACCTCTTTTTTACACAAGCACAAAAATATGGTGGATATGAAAAGATAACTAAACAACGTTTATGGAAAAAACTTTATGATGATCTTGGTGGTGATAAACGTAGCACCAGTGCTGCAACATGTACACGTAGACATTATGAAAAATTATTATTACCGTTTGAACGGCAATTGAATGGCCTTCCCGATTATCATCATTTATCGAAACAACGTAAACAGTGCAATTCATTAAAAAACGATAATGATAAACAGAATGATGATTCGAAAGAATCGGGTGATGATGATGACGATGATGATGGTGACGATTTTGATGATAACGACGACGACGACGACGATGATGATGATGAAAGAATTGAAGATGAATTTAGTGAATCAAATGAAAGTTCAAAAAGCAATAATAAAGATACGAATACGAATAATAATAATAATAATAATAATGAAAATTCAGAATCTCAAATTTCTCAAACTAAAGAAGAAGAAGAAGAAGATGAATCATTATCAAACAATGATAAAATGGATGTCGATGATGATGATGATGACAAATGTCCAATGATGATTAGCACCGTTGTCAATGAAAATGATGATGAAATGATTATTTTGAAGAAAAATAATCATCATCATCATAAATCATTCATATTGAGAGAAGAAAATCGAATTAAATTAAGTGAACCTGAACATGAAAAATGTGAAATCAATTTGAATCGATCCAATAATAATAATTCTTTGTTAATTGCAAATAAGAATAAAACTACTACCGCTACTATTGTTGAATCGGTTGAAGAAAAAGAAAAAGAGAAAGAGAAAGAAGAACAAATGAAAATTATAAAAATTACAAATGTTTCAATGGAAAGAAAAAAATCAAAAGAAATTGTAAAAGTATATCATGATATTGGATCCACCAAACAGAATGATAATAATAATAATAATGACGATGATGATGATGGAATTCAAATTCAAAGAATCAAGAATGATCGAGTGATATTTGAAAATGATAATAATAATAATAATAATAACAACAAAAGAATTAAATTGAATGCTATTTCGATTACTGGTGATGATGATGATGATGATGAAGAAGAAGAAGATAAATGTATAGTGATGAAAATGATACCATCAATCATTAATGATAAAAATACTGCTATCACTACTGCTGCTACTACAACAAATGCTGTTAATCGTCCATTTACATTAAATACAATCAAATTACCAATGAATCCGAATAATTCATCAACAAAAGTAATGTTATCATATGTTAATTCACATGCAAAAATGACTGCATTGGTACATCCAACACAACGTAAATCATCGAATAATAATAATAATAATAATGTTGCTGAAAATCATTTGATCATTGATAATGGTGATATTTATGATTTCAAAGAATCTGGAGAAAATATTGACAACGATAATAGAGATGATAAATTTCAATCAATGAAAAATGTTGATGATAAAATAGCCGATAATGATGATGTTGATGTTGGTGAAACAATGAAAACAGAAACGGAAAAGACATCACCATTACATTCAATTTCGAATATAATTACTACCGTATCCGAAAAAGATGATGACAACAATAAAATCAATGAAACGAAGAAATGTCAAAGAAATAATTTACCACCGACAAATAATCATAATATATTGAAAAATATGTTTTGTTTACCAAAACCACTTGAAAATCCAAAATTATCCTCATTAATACAAGCCGAAAAGAATCATATACAATTATCGTTGGATAATAAGAATCATAAACATATGGAACCATTACCAGCACATCGTAATAATAATCCGCCAAAAATTACTGCTGCCCCTATCGCCAATACAATGAATGACGAAATATTGGATTTATCGATGAAACAATGTTGTCAAAACAACAACAATAATCGAATGCTTTCACCAATAGCTTTGATCAAAGAATCAACAAAATCAAATCGATCAAACGAATCTTCAGGTATTTTATTGGATCTAAGAGCTAAAAATAAAACAATCACTCGCAATAATAATAATGATCATAAATCATCGACAATTCATCTTGTAACGACACCAATGTTGCCTCCACCGTCATCGATGCAACATTCAACGACAGAATTTCAACAAAATTCACAAATTCGTATTCAAAATGATGGACGAAGAATTTCTAAAAATAATCATTCTATTGACGTAAGACAATCATATAGTAAAATCAATCAGCCATCAATTATTAATCATGAACCTAATCATACAAAACGTATTTCACATAAATCCAAAAAAACAAATCGACAACAACAACAATCAAAGTTGATGAATTCTTCTTCTATTCGTCCATCATTGTTTAATAATAATGTCCCATCGATATCGGAATATAATCCTCAATTGCCATCATTTATTGGATCTCATCATTGGCCCAATTGGACTGGAACCACTACCAATGTTCCATTTGCCTTAAGATCAATGTTTCCATTGTATGCAAATACAAATCTTTCGATGCCATCTCCTTCTAATGCTACTACTATAATACCTCATTCAATTAACAATCCAACTTATCATCAACAGCAACAACAATTTCAGAATTTCTCAAATGTTTTACCTCAACACAATTTTCCAACACCACCACCAGCACCAGCACCACCAACACAACCATCGCCAACAACATCTATGATAAATCCATCATCATCTGTACTTGACATTGGATCATCATCATCATCATCATCACCTAATTCAACAATAACAACAACAGCTAAACAATTATTGGAAGCTTATAATAATAATAATCAATTTCTACAATTTCTTAGTAATGGTGGTGGAAATAATATAAATAATGCATATGCCAATCTAGCAAATTTATTTGCTTCTACTAATTCGATATCGAAATAATAATACAAAATAATAAATAAATAAATAATAATTTGCAATCACATTCAATCATTTATTTTGATGTAATTAATCAATTCATGTAAATCTCAACAATTTGACTTGTATATTGTTTTTTTTTTTCTTCTCATTTTATTTGTTGTATATTCACTTTATTTAGTCTATCGATTAATCGCAAGGTGCAATCGAATAATGGATTATTAATTACAAACAATGTGCCTTTGATTATTATTATTTGTAGAATATTCTCTTCTCCATCACCATTGTTATACATGTAAATAAAACAATTTTCATCATCATCATCATCATCATTTTTTAAAATTAATCTGGTTGATTTAAATTGATTTGTTGTTGTGTTGAATGAAATCCATCTTCCAAATGTCGTATCAGACGCATATGATCAAAACTTTTTGGTTCTTTATTGAACAAATGTAATGAAAGTCGTGCCGATGGATCTTTAGTTAGATAATAGTATTGTAATTGATTTGCTAGTGCTTGACATTCCATAATGTTAAGAATGTTTGAATCAAATTCACCCATCATTAATACGATGCCTTTTAATTCGGTTAATTCTGGATAATAATAAATAGTAAGACAAACGGGCGCCATCTCTTTACGAAGATGATAAGCAGCTAATGGTGTAAAATGACAACAATGTTCTTGGAATTGCATTAGAAAAAATTCATATGACGACAATGTTGTTGCTGTATCATCATCATTGTTGTCGGAATTTCTTCTTGGCAATGGTAATATGAATGCAGAATATTCGCAAAGATTCCGATGAAATGTTTCATATAATGATGATTCAATAATGGCATAAAGACAATCACGTTTACTATGATATTGATTCCATATTTGAATAATTTCCTCTTTTGATTTATCCATAAATAGATCAAGTTTAACGATATCATCCAATTTTTTCTTTGATGATTTATCCGAAATATTGGCCTTGTTCACTACAAATTAATTTTATTAGATTGGTCAAAATAATAAATCGTTCAAACCTTTTATTGTATTTATTTCGGATTTTAATTTTTCACAATCTTCAGCCACAGATTCGACGATTGTTGTTGTTGGTTTTTTGTCTGGTGATTCAATTTTCTTATCATCATCAACTTTTAATGATGATGATGATGATAATTGAGCTTTTTTAATTTTTTCCGCATACTTTGAATAGTATGGATTTTCTTCAATAGATTTTTTCAAAGATTGTTGTTTTTGTTGCTGTTCAGCATTAACGATGGCATCGGTTGATAATAACAATTTATTCACCGGATTGTTTGGATTAATGGCCAAACTATAACACAAAGGAAGTACATTATTAGATGGTTGTGTTAAATTTCGAAGATTTCGATTCATGATATTTAATGATAATAATGAAAATGAAATCCGAGAAATCATTTTATGTTTTGTTTTTTTTTAGTGTCCTCTACATGCATTCACATGTCTTTGTTGATTCATGATGTTCCGTTCATAAACAATGTTTTTGGGGAAAAAAATAATCTTTACAGAAAATAAATATTTTGTGTATTGAACAACAATACAACAGCACAACAGTTTAATTTCCGGAATTTATTATTCTGTTTTTTTTTTGATTTTTATTATTGGATTAAATTCAAAAAAATAAAATAAAAATAATAATCTCAGCATGTAAGTTTTTTCTTTATAAATATAAACATAAAAAAGGAAATCAAACTTTTTAGTTTCAATGATTAATCTTCTTTTTGTTCTCTGTTTATTTTGTTTTTTCGTTTCATGTTTACTTGATAAAAATTAACGTTTCCTGAGAATTCTGTGAAAAAAATGTTTGCAGATTGTTTTAGTACAATTTTTCAATCAACTTGTCGTGTTCGTGATTCGTTGAAATCATCATTGAAAACGGTCTCAACGACCACGGCAACGACAACGGCAAAAAAGTTTGATGTCACCAATAAAGAGTTGACAGAATTAATGGAATATCGTGGCTTAGAATCCATTGAAAAGGTTGAAGAAAAATTTGGATCAATAAATGAATTGTGTATGAAGTTAAATATTTCACTTGATAAAGGTAATCAATGATTGTATTCAGAATTTGCCAGATATAAATTTGTTAATAATTTTCTATCCATTCATAATATCACCACCATACCAAAAATTAGGTATAGATGGAACCGATGATGAAATTAAGCTTCGGAAACAAGTTTTTGGCTCAAATAAATTGATTGCCATTACATCGAAATCATTTTTGTCATTAGTATTGGAAGCATTGCAAGAAAAAACGATGATCATGTTGGAAATATGTGCATTCGTTTCATTGGCACTTTCATTCTATCATCCAACAAATGAATCATCGTCCGATGATCATCGAAGTAAGGCATCAGTTTGTTTTTTACTCATTACCAACACACACACACACACACACATAATAATACATTGATTAACTGGAAAAAAATCGAACAAATCTTTTTCTCTCTTTTTTTTCAATAATGAAAATAGCGAGAAAATCATATTAATAAAAGCAATAATCATTTTTTCTATTCTGTGTTTAGATCCATATTTGGAACAAAAAAATGAAGATCGATATGGTTATGTTGAATCAGTGGCCATATGGTTATCGATTATGATTACAGTATTAGTAATGGCAACCAGTGAATATGGAAAAGAAGCCAAATTTAGAGGTTTGACCGTTGTTTTTTTTTTTTTTTGTTTTGTTTTGTTTTATTATTCCGTTTATGTGTTTTTATTATAATAATAATTCCCATTTTCCCAATATCAATTCAATTCATTCATCGTCATCGTCATCATCATCATCGGTTTTTATATCTGATGATGATAAGAAATGAACTGTGAAAAAAAAAAAAGAAAGAAAAACAATAACCCGATCTCACATTCCACCAAAAATACATCAAATGTGTGTGTTTTGTGTGTGATTTGCATCGCTATTCTTTTAATGTGTTTTCTTATAAATCACATTTTCTTTTCACATTTTTTCCTGTTTTTTTTTTGTTTTGTTTTTTGTTTTGTTTGTTAATATTTCTTTTTTTGTTTTCTCTTTATGTTTTTTATCGTAAATCGTATTTGTTCCGATTAAACAAACGTCGTCCATGAATGATGTTGTTTTTTTTCTTGTGTGTGTGTGTGTGTGTGTGTGAATATGGTTTAAATCAAACGACGACAACAACAACAACAAAATGAACATGAAAATCTGGAATCACATCACAATTACACATCATCATCCTATAAAATGTTTTTTTTCCATCAATGGGTGGTCTTGTATTACTTTCTGTTTTCAACGTTTCCTCTCTGGTTTCAATGTCAATTAATGAAAAAAAAATATGCACAGCATTACAAAATCGTTTAGAAAAAGAACACAAGATCAATGTATTACGTAATGGTAATATACATGAAATATCAACATCGGATTTAGTTGTTGGTGATATTTGCATAATTAAATATGGTAAATATTAATGTTTCTTAATATAATAATAACTAATTTGATGCTTGTCTGGTGGTTTGTTTGATGTTTTGGTGTTTGTGCAAAAAACAACCAAAATCCACACCACCCCTCCTCTTTAACCCTTTTGTGTTGTGATCACCATATCGAGATTTTCTTTCTGAATTTTTTTTTCTAGTTTTAGTCAAGTTTTTTTTCAGGTAGGTAATGATGAAAAAAACGCGAAATGAGAGAGCGAGAGAGCAAGAGAGAGAGAGAGAGAGAGAGAAGAAAATATTTGTCATTTGCATATTATATACATTTCTAATTTTCAATTAATTTTTTATGCAAAACTTTTCTCTGTTATTAATGTGTGGTGTGTGTGTTTTTTTTTTTCATTTCGCTTCACTTTTTCTTTTTTTTTTGATAATAGGTGACGTAATTCCAGCTGATGGAATATTATTCGAATATAATGAATTAAAAATCGATGAAAGCTCAATGACTGGTGAATCGGATCTAGTGGCCAAACGAACGGATAAAGATATCACATTATTTGCTGGTATGTTTGTTTGCCATATATTTGTGTGTAATCTGGCTGGGCCCGAAAATTAAAAAAAAAATTCGGCCTATAAATGCTGTGTGTTTGTGTGTGTGTGTCTGTGATTTCATTTCAATATTTTATTATCATTTTCATTTTTTTGTTGTTGTTGTTATTTGGATCAAAAAAAATCCCAGGAACTCATGTTATGGAAGGAAGTGGCCGTATGATTGTTATCGCTGTCGGTGCCAATTCACAAACGGGCGTTATTTATACACTTATGAAAAGTGGAAAAAAAGGAAAATCAATCCTACAATGTAAACTTGCCGATTTGGCTGTCAAAATTGGATATTTTGGTATGTGTGTGTGTGTGTGTGAATATGGCGAGAAGAGAATTTTTTTTTCTTTTTACTCAAAAAACAAACATCCTTTGAACGAAGAAACCCCGATAGACAGAGAGAGAGAGAATCATATGCATGCATTTTGAAGATAAATAGAAATAGATATGAAAAAAAAACAAGAATGTGATGGTGAAGTTATATGCATATGAATATTCCATTTTTTCACAGAAAAAAATGATATGGTGATGCGACAGCGACAATCACATTTTATTTTTTATTGTGTTTATGGAATCTCTGTTCCGTTCCACACACAAACCGATTATTTTCCAACCACCACCACCACCAGCACCCCCATTCTATACATAAACCCCAAAATCAATCAATCAATCAATCAATCGATGAAAATTTGTTTGCACCCGGTTTTATATCTATTTTCATCAATATATGTTTTCTTTTCTTTCACCAACCGCGCCATCATGTAAATTTTTTCCCCTTATTTTTTTTTTTTTTTTTTTGAATTGAATTTTCATTTTTCCATTTTTTTCATCATCATTGTCGCCGTCTTTTTATTTGTTGTTATTGTTGTTGTTGTTGTTATAGGCATATCAATCGCAATAATAACCATTATAATGCTTATCGTACGATCTTGTATTGTTGAATTTGCTATTAAACAGGAAAAATTGGCATATAAACATATAAAAGAATTTTTTGATCATGTCATCACTGGTATAACGATTCTTGTTGTTGCCGTACCGGAAGGACTACCATTGGCCGTATCATTATCATTGGCCTATTCGGTTAAGGTATGTGGATAGAAAAAAGAGATAAGATTATATGGATAGATAGATAGATAGATAGATAGTCAATCTGAATCGTGCCGTAAAAATATCACACCAAAAAATCAATAGTTTACACCATTTTTACATAAATTTTTTTTTTTTTTTTTTTTGACAAAACCAACATATTAATGATGAACGAATGAATCATAGCAAATGATGAGAGATAACAATCTAGTACGTCATATTGATGCTTGTGAAACGATGGGTAATGCAACGACTATTTGTTCGGATAAAACAGGAACATTAACAGCAAACAAAATGACCGCCGTACAATGTTATACATTTGGTATTTATTATACAAAATTATCAAAAAGACAGCTGAATTTTCATACAGCACAAAATATCACATTTGTCCATATATTGGCTCAGAATATTGCATTGAATTCAGCATCTACAAGTCGTATTGCGGTAAGTTTCAAAAAAAAACAAACACAACACAACCCCGTTTTTATATTGCCCGAAAAAAAATTATTATTATTCGCCTGTGTGTGTGTGTGTGTATTATCACCATTATAATTATTTTATTATAACGTTGACATTTCCAATAATATGGTGTGACTTTTGCTTTTTTTTTCTCTCTCTCTTCATAATTCATTTTTCATCTTTTTTTTTCTCATCATCTCTATTTTTCTTTTTTTTTCTATTCGTTTACAAAAAAAAAAAAAAAAAGCGAGACGAAAATAATTTGATCAAACAATATGGAAACAAAACCGAATGTGCATTATTAGGTTTACTTTATAAGCTTCAATATGATTATGCTAAATTACGCAATGAATTTTCTGTGAATGAAATTCATCGAGTTTTTGCATTCAATTCCATGAGGAAATTGATGCGTACAATAATCAAACTACCAGATGATCAAGGATTTCGTTTATTAGCCAAGGTTTGTATATTTGTGTGTGTGTGTGTGTGTGTGTGTGTGTGTTGGAAAGAGAAAAAAAAAGAAAAGTAAGATTCCATTACACAGAACTTTTTTTTTCTTCTCTCACTTTCTTTTGTTGTTGTCTTTAATATTAGTATATGATGATGATGATGATATTGTTTGTATTAGCTAATTTAATATCATCATTTTTTTCTGGTATTTAGGGTGCTTCAGAAATTATATTACGTAAATGTTCTTTTATCATTGGTGTTGATGGTAAATTATTACGATTGAATTTAATGGAAAAAAATAAGATTACACAGCAAGTGATAAAAGTAATGGCACACAATGGTCTACGTACTATTTGTTTGGCTTATGTGGATTATATTTTCCATGATGATGATGATGATGACGCGAACGATGCCAATAATGATGAGTATGTGTGATGAATTAATTTTTTTTTTAAATAATAAATAATGATCATATCATATCATATAATCAAATACGAGTAGAAATAGTCGACCAAACCATAACCGTAACAAACCTAATTGTAAGATGATTAAACGAAATATTGAACCAGAATGGGATGATGAACAATCCTATTCAGATATGACTTGTTTAGCCATCGTTGGTATTGAAGACCCTATCCGAAAAGATGTAAGTTGATGGGTGTATAGCATCCATTAGAATTTTTTTGGTTAATTTCCAATTTTCCAAGGTACCACAAGCTATAAAAAAATTTCAAGAATCCGGTATAACCGTACGAATGATAACTGGTGATAATATTGATACGGCAAGATCGATTGCAAACAAATGTGGTATAATCAATACTGATAGTAATAGTAATCAAGAAAAAAATTTCATGATACTTGATGGTAAACAATTTAATCAAATGATACGTAATGATTCCGGTGAAATTGATCAAGATTTATTCGATTCTATATGGCCACATTTACGTGTATTGGCACGTTCATCACCTATGGATAAATATATTCTTGTCAAACATATAATTGCAAGTCGAATAACATCAGCAAGAGAAGTGGTAGCTGTCACTGGTGATGGTACAAATGATGCACCAGCATTAAAAATGGCTGATGTTGGTTTCGCCATGGGCATTGCTGGCACCGAAGTGGCCAAAGAAGCATCGGACATTATATTGACTGATGATAATTTTTCAAGCATAATAAAATCAGTCATCTGGGGCAGAAATGTTTATGACAGTATTGCTAAATTTATTCAATTCCAATTAACTGTCAATATTGTAGCTGTATTGATATGTTTCGTTAGTGCATGTATTATACAAGTATGATTTATTATCATTACTCTTAATGCCATTCATTGATTCATCCATTTTATTTTTTTTTCACTTTTTGATGGTTATCATCATCATCATCAATTATTACCTGCCTACCGACAAATTTGTGATGAACAAAAAAAACAGGAAAGTCCATTGAGACCAGTACAAATGTTATGGGTTAATCTGATTATGGATACATTAGGTTCATTGGCGCTTTCAACTGAAGAACCAGATAAAACAGTTTTATTACGTAAACCATATGGTCGTAATAAACCATTGATATCGACAAATATGCTTAAAATTATTGCCGGTAATGCATTATATCAGCTTGCCATTTTGATATCATTTTTATTCTATGGTAAAATATATTCGTTTACCTGTTTTTATATCTACCTTTCTAATGTTATTATCGTTTTTGTTGTTTCTCAAACACACACACACACACACACACACACAGGTCCACAATGGTTAGATTTTGATTCTGGTCTACAATTGAGTAAAAACACACCGACCGTTCATTTTACAATGTTATTCAATATATTCGTAATGTTAACATTATTCAATGAAATTAATTCACGTAAAATCAATGGTGATCGTAATGTATTTGAAGGTATTTTAGCAAATTGGATGTTTTGTTCAATATTTTCCGGTACATTATTCATACAGGTAATAAATGAAATTAGTTAGTTATTAATATAATTATCATTGATCATCAATAAAATAGGTATGCATTATACAATTCGGTAGCATTTGGTTCAACACTTGTCCATTGGATTTATCACAATGGATGTGGTGTTTAGCATTTGGTTTCAGTATGCTTGTATGGGGTCAAATAACAACAACGATGACATTGAAAACACGTAATTATAATTGGATAAATGGAATTAGTGGCCACCAACAACAACCAACCACCCACTAAAAATAAATAAAACTGAAACTGGATAACAGTTGACAATGATAATCTCTACTTTTTTCGTTGAAAATTAAACATAAATTATAATCATACGTTAATAATGATGACCATTATAATAAGCCAAAAGTTTTTATTTTTACATCTTACTCCATCTTTCTATATTTATATTTTGAATTTAATGTAATAATCACACACACACACACACCCACAACAAATATCCTGAATGATGCCGACGACGACATTATTAGGTCTTTAAAGGAAAATTTTCTGTTTATTTGGCAAAAATTTTTTTTTTTTTGGTTTTATATCTACTCAACCAACCAATAGAATAGAGTACGATTTGCCTCCATCCCCCAATACGAACGACCAAGTGGTATCTTGGGTCTTGTATAATTTTTTTTTTGTTACAACACAACACTCTGCAACAACAACGACATTCATTTAATGGTGTGTGGTGGTATATGAGGAGGTACGACGCCCGTTGTATAATAATTTGTCGTTAATGTCCAAATAGCAAAAAAAAAATAATAAAAAAACACAGACAGATAGACATATAAAAAGAAGATTCACCGAATTTTCGTTTTTATATGACGACGAAAACGACAACAACAACAACAACAACAACAACAACAAAAGGTGTATGTTGTGTATGTGTTCATTTTGATCGTTTTTTTCCAAATGTTTTCGTGTTTTTTTTTATATATATATTTCATTTAGGTTTATTATATGGTTGGAAAACAGTGGAAAACACCATTTTTTTTCTGTGTACAAGTGAAATTTACGATGATGACGATGGAAACACACTTACGATCCAGAAAAAAAAACAACACACAGGTAGGTTGATTACGAAAATTTTTTTTTCTATTTTTTTTGGCAACCTTTAACATTTTTATTTTCTTCAGATTTTTATTTTATTGTTGTTGTTGTTGTTGTTGTTTCGTTGAACAGATCAAGAAATCAAGAAAACATTTAGAATTTGGTGGTATCCACTTTTTCTCCCAAACATGATGATGATGATGATTTTATCTAAACGATATTTGTGGAAAAAAAAGAAGAAGGATCATCATACAAGGTCAGGTTAACGAAGACGAAGAAGAAGAAAAAAATTAAAAATTAATAATTGATAAATGGATCATTATATTTGTGGTGGTTGTTGCTGCTTTTTTTGTGTCCAATTTCATTCTTTATTTTTGGTGTTGAATTAATAATTTCTTTCAGTGCAGAGATTTTATGGAATCCATGGTGAAGATTTGTAATAATAATGGTATAAAAAAAACACTCGGCAAGAAATAAATATTTCCAACATACTAATTATCATCATTGTGTGTGCTATAAATTGTAGAGAATTTACTGGCCCAATCTCGTTAATGAGTTCAATATATATGGATAGTAAGTGGTCGAGTGAAAAAGGGAGAGAGAGAGAGAGTGAGATAAACATTGATTTTTCTCCTGATTCCATTAAATCTCTGCCACCGTATGGGTGTGTGTGTGTGTGTGTGTGTGTGTTGTAAAGCAATAACACTTATATCCAGATAATAATGGAAATGTGAAAAACATACTCAGGTAGAGAGTAATGATGATGATGCTGTGTGTGTGTATGCGTGTGTTTGTGTATGTTGTGAACGATGCCCATTGGCCATTTATTTTGAAACGAGACCAAAAAAAAAATTATAACAGCTGGTGTGACAATTGGTGATTGGAATGTTGATGACCGTTGTCCAGCATTCAAAAATTGTTGTACCAGCATCAATGATGATGATGATGATGGGCCCAAGACAAAAAAAAAGAATCACCACCACTTTAAAAATTTACAAAAGTGACAAAAAATTAATAGATATTTTATTTGTCATTTGAAAATGATAAATTGATTCATGCACATGATATTTATACACAAACAGGAAACAAAAAAACAAAAACAAAAAACGAATTGTACACAAAAAAAAACACAAATGTAGATTATATTGCAAAGGAAAAAAATGATGATGATGATAAGAAAACAATGGAAATTGATATAATTGATTGATTGATGAATTTGCTTTTTGTTGTTTTTTTTATTTATTTCAAGATGATGATAAAGAGTTGAGTTGTGCGTAAAAATTTTTTTTTTTTTTTTGTTTTTAAATTCTTGGTCATTTGTATAAAGCAAAAACAGGTCTGTTTTCGATTCTGATTCCAAGGTGTGTGTGTCTGTGTTTAATTCGAATGTAGAGAGCAAAAATGATTCGGAATGAATTGATGGACCCAAAAGAAACATGAAATATTGATGATGATATTTTACAAGTTTTATTTGATTTGCAAAAAAAAAAACTGTTTGATGGGAAGACTTTTTTTTTTTAACTCAATAATAATTCCAATGATGATGACGAATGGATTAGTTTTGTGTGCTGATTTGATGATGTCAAGTGATGAAAGCGACATCATGATGATAATGGAAGAGACAAAAATCTATTTCCACACACACACAGAGATGGAATGAGTGAAAAAAGATCGATATTTTTTTTTCTTCATTGTAGACATGTCATTCATTCGATTCAATGCATTTGTTGTTGTTGTTGTCGCAAGTTGTGCCCAGAAAAAAAATGATCAATCTTGATGTGAATACATTGTGTTTACGTGTGTGTGTGTGTATGTGTGTTTTGTGTATGTGGAGCGAATAGAAAAAAAGTCAACATTCATTCATTCTGAATGTTGACTTTTTAAGTTAATTGTTTTCACGTGTTTTGACAACAATCAAAAAAGAAAAAAAATTCTGCCATACAATAAAAATTCGTTATTTTTTCAAATTTTATAAAATTCATCGATTTACGCCGAAGAAGAAGAAGAAGAAGTAGAGTGTACCGCCACCACGTCACCGATGAAAAATTGATTCAAATTGATGAATCGATAAATGAACACAACACACAAACAACGATGACGACGACGATGACAAAATTTTTTTTTTTGTTTTTCAACGTTTAAAAAGAATTTTACGAAAGGCTTTCCGATAGTCGCGATTGAAGATGGTATCTATATTTGAGAGAATGAGAGAGAGAAAATGAAATCAATGAAAATTCGATTTGATTTTGTAACAACAAAAAAAAGAAAATCAGGCAAAAAAAACAAGCTCTTCATATATGTGATGATATCATTCAGACGAAAAAAAAAATTTCCAGATTTTGAATGTGAGAAAAAAATATGCTAATTTTCATATATATTATTCATCAAACTAATCCTTTTTTGCTTTGTTTTTTCTTCAGCTACAGCAGCAGTAGGAGGAGAGACAGAAAGAGGGAAAAAATCTATTCTTTGGTTGTCGACCAATGAATATTCTATTTGAAAAAAACTTTTTTTTTTATTCCAAAGTTGGTAAATCGTAATGCAACAAAAAGAACGTGAATCTTAAACATACGTGCATTATGTACTGATATTACTGTTATTTGATGATGAGCTTCGCATACACACATACACACACACCCACACTCTACACACAAGTATAATAACAAATACAAACAGAAAAAAAGTGAATGAACCAGAAAAATCAACAACAAACAAACGAAGAAAAAAAAAACAAACAGAAATGAAATGAATGAATAAACAAAGATGGATCGATACTTACAAATAATGGGATTTGCGGCTGATTTTTTGTTTTGTTTTGTTTTTTTTTTATGAACATTCGTCGTTTTTTTTGGTCGATTTTCGTTTTTTCGAGATTTTAAATCATCACAAACACACACACACCCAAGAATAAAATACGAAAACCAACCGACCAGATGAAAATCCAGATTTAAAACGAGAGAGAGAAATTGCCGGATTCAAAGAAAAATAAAAAGAAAAAGAAAAAGATTATTAGATGCACAACAAATTTTTTTCAATGCAAAACATCAAGTTCATCTGGTTTGTGCAATGTGAATTCAATGAGCCAGTGAGTTTTTATTTCAAATTCATGTTTTTGTTTTTTCTTTTGAGTTTTTTTTTCTTGGTTGTAATGACAATTCTGTTTTCATTTAATTGATTGATCAATAAAAAAAAAAATTGCAATTTAAAATGAAAAACGAAAAATTTTCGATCATAAATTATTTGCCGTTTTTCTATCCAACCATCTCTCTCTATTCGTTGTTTTTTTTGTGTCTCTGCGTTTCGTATAATACGATTACGGTTATACATGTTGGTTATCGAATATGTTAACGGCTGATTCTTGTGTGTTTGTGTTTGTATGTGTGCGGGTGTTCAATAATAAAATTTAGAATTCACTCTAACCCAGTTATACGATAAAATGTGTCTAGAATAACTAAGATTCTAAGATTGTGATTTAATTAATTGTGTATAACCGACACACATACACACACCAGCAAATCAGCAAACCACCCACCACTTGTTCTGTGTGCGTGTGTGTGTGTGTGTGTATAAACCACTTAATGACAAATTAATTGATATGCTTCATTTAATCGTTAAAACAAACAAACCAAAAAAAAAAACTAAACCAAAGACTGAGAAAAAAAATTGGAAAATTCAATTTGCTTCCACACACACACACATATATATATAGCGTGGATTTTTCTTTTTCTTTTTTTTTTAGATTTAAAGCTATTGGGTTGATGTCCTTGGTTCTTGTCGTTTGTTTGGAACTTATATACGTGTGCGTGTGTGTTAGTATGTCGATAACAATAACGAGACAAACAAACAAAACAGACAAAAATCATAAAATGATGGGTAATTATTTCGCTATTAAAAATTGCACATAAAGGAAACATTTTTGTTTCTTCTACATCATCATGTAAATGTATGTGTTGGATTGAAAAGATTTGATGAAAGAAAAAATTATTATTGTCCATAATAAGATAAGATAATAACAATACAACAGTGAATATAATAAATAAATGAAATTATTATCACTAACCTGAATTACCATAACCAAGCCAAAATGCAACGGCAAATACACCTTCTGGAATATTTTCTTTACATTTTTGACATAAGGCTACAAGAACATAAAGCACAAAAAAAGGCAACCATGCGGTAATGAATGCAGCCATTATTAAACCAACAATCAATGTGGCTCTTCTTTCACGAGCTTTAGCTATTTTTCTTTTATGACGTTCAGCATCACTAGGTAAATGGATCGGTTGATGATGATGATGATGATGATGGTGATGATCATGATCCTGATATTGAACTCGATTCTTTTTCCTGTTATTCTGATGATGATGATGATGTTGATCATCATCAATAGTATCAGAATCTTCATAATCAGCAATACTTAATGTTGAACCAAATCGTGATCGTAATAATTTTGGTGCACTAAGAAAACTTTTTGTTTCACAGCTTTGTTCACGGTTATGATTATTTATTGTTGTCGTTGTTGGTGAATCAGCAGCCGTATCTGAATCATAATCATCATCAATAGTACCATCACCATTTGATTTATTCGATATGCTATTTTTATTACTAAGTCCATTGATCTTTTTTGATGTTGTTGGTGATTTTCGTGATAATTTAAAAGTTTTAACTTTTGAAAAATAAGTTTTAGTCATTTTTGTTTTCGGTTGCTTTTGCTGATGGTCATTATTGTTATTGTTATTGTTGATAGAATCATCATCATTGTTGTTTGTTTCATTTAAATTGTAATTTCGATTTATTCGACCACCACCACCACCACCACCACTACCACAACATTCATTATCAGTTTCATTAATTCGTTGTTGTTGTTGTTGTTGTTGTTTGTTGTTGTTGTTGTTTCCGCCATGAGATGTTGATGATGTTTGATTATTATTATTATTATTACTAGTGTTTATAGTAGTGATTATTTCACTAGTAGATATTATATTCCATGATTGCCTACGAGATTCTGATGATGAAGTTTCAATTATAATTTGTGGTGGTAATGTTGTTTTCATTATATTAACACTATCACCACCACCACCACCACCACTAGTATCACCAACATTCCATTCATTCTCTTTATTATTATTGTTGTTGTTGTTGTTGTTTATTGTAGATGGTTCAAATCTAATTTGTGAATGATATTCAGATATCAAATTCATTTTTACAGCTTTTTGTTCATCAATTTCTTCATCATCATCATCATCATCACCATTGTTGTTGTTGTTGTTGTTGTTGTCGTTGTTTTTGTTGTTATTTTGATCATCATCATCTTCATCATCATCATCATCATCGTCGTCATCATCATTATCAACATGTTGATGTTTATGACGATGTTGATGATGATGATGATGTTCATTGTTGTTAATATTATTATTATCTGGTGGACTTGGATTACTAAAACTTGTACATAATGTTGTTGTTGTTGATTTTTCTTTCATTGTTTCATTTGCCGCTGCTGTTGCTGCTGCTGCTGCTGTTGTTGTTGTTGTTGATATGGTCGTTGGTATTTTAAATCGTTTTTTAGCTATATGTTTTCTGGCACGACTTCTAGCGGCGATAAATATTTTAGCATAAACAAAAACCATCATCAAGGCAGGAAAATAGAATGAACCGATAGAACTATATCTATATATACAAAGAAAAAAAAAGAATCAAAAAAAAATTTTTTTCTTCAAGAATAAAATGATGAATAAGAAAACACTTACAATACATAACCAATATCATCGCTTAGATTACATTGTGGATATTCACTGGATTGTTCGGCTTTTTTCCAACCAACCAATGGTGGTAATGAAACGAATGCTGAAAATATCCATACGAATGCAATCATCATTGCCGCTCTGGATGGTGTACGTTTTTTTAGATATTTTACTGCTTGTGTTATACTCCAATAACGATCCAAACTGATCAAAAATAGGCTATTGATACTTGCTGTACAAAGTAGAACATCAAGTGCAGCATGTATATCACACCAAACCTGGCCAAACATCCAATAGCCCATTAATTCACGTGCCAATGAGAAAGGCATTATAATCAATCCAATAAGCAGATCAGATACAGCCAATGATGCAATGAACCAATTCTGTACTGGTTTCAATGCTTTTTCCGTTGCAATTGCAATACAAACAAGTAGATTACCAACAACTACCAATATAATGATACAGGTCAAAAAAAAGGCCAATAATACAATCGATAATTGTGTATAGCCACTAGGAAAAGGTTTACTGGCCCATATATTCCACCATGATGATGGATCAGTAGTAACATCATTGATTGATAATGTTGATGTTGTTTCATTAAAATTAAATGTTGAGCTCAAATTATCGATGGTCATCCAATGTTGATCATCGTTATTATTATTATCATTATCTATTAAAGTGACATCATTATTGATTGTTAAAATGTCACTATGATTGGAAAAACTATTGATGAAATGATGAAAATGATCGTCAGTGACATTCAACACGGGCAATGGTCGAATAATGTTTATAATACTGCTAATAGATGTATTGATGGTGTTGATGGTGCCACTATCGTTTTGATGATGATGAAGATGATGATATTGATGATGATTGTCCCAATTGGTTTCATTTTTCATCAATTCCAACATATATTTCGATACATGATCATGATTCACAAGATTTTCATTTGTATTATTCATTATTTGTTTAAAAATATTATCATTAGGAACATTTACTTGATGATCATCATTGATTTCCATTATCATCACCATCATCATCATCATCATCATCATCACAATCATTCACTGTGATAAAATTCATTCATCAAGTCCATCTTTTGTGATGAGGAAAAAAAAAAAAAAACAATATTTATCACTTTTCAATTTATGTTGTTGTTTTTCAAGTCATCATGATCATTGATTGATTATAAAATACGAGAATAGAAAACAAAACAAAACAAACAGATATCAAACATTGTCATATTGATGATTGAATAAATTCCAGATTCCAATGAATGAATTCTCTATTGAAGCGAGAAGAAAAAAACAGAATAAAGAAAATGAGAATAAATTTGAGTTATTTTTGTTGTTGTTGTTGTTGTTGTTGTAAATAATGATTGATCTTTGTCAAAAAGCAAAAAAAAAAATAAAAAAAAAAAAGAAAAATGTTATTTCAAATGTTGACCTAGTTTTTATTCTGTTTTATTTGTCAAGATTTCTATTTCTATTTTTTTTTTTTTTTTTTTTTTTTGATAAATAGTGGTGGTCCTCCTCATATTTATTTATTCTTTATTTTATTCCCCAAGATTCTATTTTTTTTTTTTTTTTATAAATGTCCAACCAATAGTGCAAAGTAATCAATCTTTTCATTCTTTTTGATTTTTTTTTATCATAGCCACACACTATACAACAACAAACATGCATATATTCATTAATGAGCTTGATTCTTTGCTCATTTTTTTTTTAAAAAAGCCACCAATATGCATACACCAATGATGTGTAGTAATGGATTCTTTTTCATCATTTTTGCTCTTTTGCTTCTTCTTCTTATTCTTCTTCTTTTTTTTTGGAACCAAGAATAAATAAATAAATAATATGAAAAAAACACCCATTGCTCAATACTTGTCATTTGTGTTCTTATTTCACATTTATTCATTTGGATGAAAAGAAATTTTTCTTTTTTTTTACATTGAAATTTATCCATACACACACACACACACACACACACACACACACACACGAGGAACGCAAACAAAGACGACGATAAGAGAGAAAGAAAGAGAAAATATGAATAACAGGCCATAAAAATCTGGTCCAAAATGATCATCATCATCATCATCATCATCATCAGAATGGATCAACAGAACCCGACAAAAAAAAATACCATTAATGAAATGAATGAGAAATTTTTTTTCTCTCTCTTTCATTTTTATTTATAATAATACAAAAAGCCTAATTTTACCATCCAAAGTTATGCCAATTTTTTTTTTGTTTCTTTTGATTTTACTACACTTTTATTTTAGCCACTCAAATGATGTATATATGTTTAGTTAACAGTTGGGCTATTCAAACGAAGAGGAAAAAAACATACACAAACACACGATATTTCTTATGCTGCAATTGACCTAAACTAATTGACCTAAACTGTATGAAATTTGATAGCGTTAATGATACAACATGCGAGTCCTTGGAGCAGATATATATTCAGCATTTTGTAAATGGAGTCAAATGATTGACAAATGTGTCATTGTCGTTAAAATTGCTTTGCAGATCATTAACTTTATCGGTTGAATGTTCGTTAGAAGAGCACCGACGGCCTTTTTGGATAATCTTTCTTCATCTCCGCATCAAACGGCAAATCAGAATTTCGATTCATCTCCATTCTGTTCTTGTTTAAATATATGGTCCGATGTTTTCGTTATAGAGGAAACGAGATGATTCATTTTTTCAAATCTTTAGTTGTTTCTTCTTTGTTCGTTGATGCAATGATGCCATCGTCGACGTAAATGATCAATTCGGCATTTTCCTCGCATGAAATAAAACAGGGATCGAGATTATAGAATTAAAGCCAAACTTCAAATACGGAGTTATACTTTAAAAAACGTATTCGAAATAATTTGATCATCATAAAGGTGGTTTGTTTAATATATACGTCTCCGGTGATTTGGCCAAAGAAGGCGCATGAAACACACACACACACACACACACACATATGAAATGGCTGACAATCTTCTGACGTTATGATATTTATTCAACATCAGCAGCAGTAGCAGCAGCAACATTGGTTAAAATTGCTTTGCAGATCATTAACTTTATCGGTTGAATGTTCGTTATTTTTTTTTTCTTTCTCTCTCTCTCTCTCCATTCTGTTTGTTTGTTATAGTCATTTTTTTTCGTTGTTGCTGTTGGATGGGCAAAATATTTATTCTTCTTATACTGGTTTTTGATTATAAATGAGAGAATGAAACTTGGAAAGAATAAAAAAAAATAAAAAATTCACAGCTTTAATTAATCAGAGTGATTCTGTTCACTGACTGTTTTGTTGGTTCTCTCTCTCTCTCTCTCTCTCTCTCTCTCTCTCTCTCTGTTATCTTGAAACATGACTTGATTTAACTTTCGAATTTTTGGGGAGAAATAAAAAAAAAATTTATTCTACAACGCTGCTATAACGATTTTGGAATTTTTTTTTCTTTTCGGATATATAGATTATCCATATCGGTTATCATCATCATCATCATCAACAACAACAAGGTCAATGTTATCAACAACCAACCAACAAAATAAACATATTAATGACCAAGTGTGCCCAAACTCGTTACATAATGAATCATGATGATCTCAAGAATGAGGAAAAAATACCATCCATTCATTCATTCATATGTAGATGTCAAGAATGAATGAATTCATGAATGATGAGTGATTCTTGTAGCTATTCAAGTCATTTTAGTCGACAAAAAACACACACACACACACAGAATAACGATGATCAAAGAATAAATAATGCAGACTACTACTATTCATGCTAATTAATAATAATCGTTTCTTTCTTTTTTTTTTTCTCATATCATAAGAAAACATACTACATCATCATGAGAGAATAAAAGAATTTAGAATTTTTTGAACAAAACAAAAACAACACTATAGTAGTTTTTTTCTTGGTGCAATAAACGAACGTAACAGTGTCTGTGTATGTTTTTCAAAGTGAGAAAAAAAACTATCACGATAATTATTATTCTTGAATATTTTAAACAAAACAGGAAAAAAAAAGTTTCATCTTTCTACTTGGCAATATTTTTATCATCATCATCATCGCAATCATTATAATAATAATGGCTTGAAACAAGTGACGGTAGTGAAAGTAAACGACCATAATCCATAGACCAGAATTGTCGACTTTTGAGACAGCGAAAAAAAACGAGAGAGAGAGATAGATTTTTTTTGAAAAGCGTCAAAATTTGATTGAAAAAAAATTTTTTTTTTTAGCCAGCCAAACAAAACAGGCATTTTTAATTCCATTATTATCATCATGAACAATGTGATCATCATGATGATGATGATGGCTTTCATCAAACTTATTTCATATTTATTATCTTTGTGTTTTTGTTTTTGTTTTTTTTTCTACTCCCCGAAAAAAAAACTTGATTTGAGTGAACAGCTTTTTTTCCTGTTCAAATTTGAATTGCAAATGATTTCGAACAAAAAAAAATGTATAATCAGACGGACAACACATCAGATATTCATTAACAGAAAAAAAATTCAAAAGCAGATGAAACTTTTCAATTTACAATTATGCAAAATATATGTAGAGAGAAAAATATGAATAGACAAATGATATGCAATTTCTGTCTGTGATGATTGTTTTTTTATTTCACAGTAAAAATCACAGACAGAGATTTACTTTTTTTTAATTGAATTTAATTTAATCATCATTGTCAATTGTCAATTGTGGTCATCATCATTTTTAGCCATTGAAATTCAGATTTTGTTCGTTGTAACACAATGAATGAATGAACCATAAAGACAAACACTGTGTGTGTGTTTGATATTCATCACTGATAAGTCAAACATTTCATTTTCATTATTATTTTTCTCTTTTGAATAGAGAAATTGAAAAGAAAAAGAAAAAATTTCAATTTTATTAATCCACTCAATCATCAAAAAAAAAAAAAAAAAAAAAAAAGAGATGGGAAGGAAATTGAGAATTTTCAATAAATCATGATGATCATGATCATGATGATGTTCACTTTTTCATATTTTATCTTTTGCTTTCAAAAAAAAAAAAATTCTTTGTCATCCTCATCATCGTGATCATGGTAGAGAGAATTTTTTTCTTTCTTTCTGCACATTCTATATTAGATGAATGGTTGGCTGGTTGGTTAGCTGGTTGGTTGGTTGGATATTTATTTCTGCTTCTCTGCTGTTTGCTCATTTTATATTTTAATAACAGTTATATATTGATATAATACCAGACGACCATTCATTCAATGATGCAATTATTTGTTTGTTCAACCAACAACAACAACAACAACAACTACTACTACTACTACTACTACTGACAATTTTTCATACAAAAAAAGGAGAGAATGAAACACATCACACATCACACATGAAATGAAATGAATGTGAGTGAAAAAAAAGCGATCAAGCAATAGAATTGGCCATTTGGAATATTATTCTCTAGTTTTTTTTTCATATATGATCAATTCTTGTCATTATCTTGCCATTTATTTTTCACTTTTCCGTTGTATATTCACTATTTCACTATTTTACTATTTTTTCATTATTGACAATGTTTATAATATTTACTCGAGCATTCAAAGTGAGTGTGTGAGTGTGAAAAAGTGTGGAAAAAAAACTCAATCAAATCAGCAGTGCATTTTTTTCTGCTTGAATTTTTTTTTCATCAGTGAGAATTGGAAGGAATGATTTTTGATTTTTGTTTTTCATTGTGTGATTTATATACTCTTGAATAATTACAATATTTTCTACTATACACACAGACACACAATTTATGAACAAAAAATTCAAGATACTTTTTTTTGTTCATTTATTTTTTTATTTATTCTGGAACAATAATTCTTATTCTATTCTATTTTTTTTTGACGCCATCTATTTCATTCACATTAAATTCTCAATTCTCAATAACTTTATAGCCATCATCATCATCATCATCATATCGAGAAACATATTTTCTAATCATAACGTTTGTCGACCGATTTTCTTTTACTTATCACACAAAGA